AGAGGTTTCTGTCATTGAAAACAACAACATGTTTAATCTTATTCCAAGTTGCTTTCTTAGTTCTTCTAGGAAAGACTACATTTTATGTTTAATCCCATTTTATCTTAATTTCCAAGTAGATGGTCTTTCTGGCAATAGTCAGTGACAATTTATTTTTTAGTATACTCTTAGTGCCATAATTATTTTTAGTATACTCTTAGTGCCATGTGCGTGCCTTGCTAGGACTGTGCTTGGAAGTTGGAACACTAATTATGTAGTTTTTTTTCTGCGTCTACTAGCATGTTAAACTGCATGCTTCGTTGAACTCTTATAACTCCTACATTGTATTGTGAATGTGTAACCCCTTCAGTTGGAAAATGTAGTTTGCCACTTTGGCTCGTATGCTTCAAGCAGATCCACCTCCAAAAGCTGTTAAGGTAACTGTGTCTAAGAGAGTTCCTTTGGCTGGAGACGAGCTACTTGCTTATGAAGAAGAGCAAAACAGGAAAAAGGAAGAAGCTCTTAAGGCTAGTTTGCTCAAGGAGGAACAATCCAAAGCATCTCATGGAACTGATAATGATACTGGTGATCCAATGATCATTGATGCTAGCAGTAATGCATCACCAGATGGTACGATGATCTGCAGTTTTGTAGAGCGTGCAAACTTTTTACAGTTAGGAATTATGATCATCCAAACTGTCTACTTGAATTGGCAAAGATATTTTAAGTGAAAATGAAATTGGTTATAGAAACATTAAACAAAAAGTTTTCCCGAACTCTGTTATGGAAACATTGAATGCCGAGTTTATGTAGGTTACTTTGAACTTTCTATATTCTAACAAGGGTCATTTGATGTGTCATGACCTTAATTGAACATGATCTGCAATATAGTTTGTTGAGTTATAAGGGTCATTAGATGTGTCAGGTTTCTGCTTCAATTAATTTTTTTTTGTTATTTTTAAATGCTGCTGGAGGATATAAATGCTATAAATGCCCCTGAGACATTGATCTATTACTTAGTGTCAACTATTGCTTGGACACAACACAACTATTTGAATTACATCAGATATTTTGGTTGTCATTATCTTTTCTTAGTCCGAACTTACATGCATCCAGTGGCAGCCGAAATGGATTTCTACATCTATTAGACTTAAGATTTTGTCAGTTATGCGATCAAAGCAAGTAGAAAAGGAGATCCTTATCTTCACTACAATCATCAATCTGATCTGTGAATTCTTATGATTTGCTTTGAATCAATTTTCATTTCTTTACACTTAGCTGTAAAATCTTCCTGCATTTTTTCATATTTGGTCAATGGACGTCTAGTGGGTTTAAACTGTGGCAATTCTCCAGGCTTGTCGATGAATGTTTTTTCTATTGGAATTATAACATATGTTTTAATAATTTTTAGTGGAATTAATTGGTTGTCTGATTGTATCTTGCAGTAGGTGGTTCACATGTAAGTGCATATCGAGATATATTAATTGATGGCTTCGTTCCTCCTTCAACAAGCGTTGCTCCAATGTTTCCCTTTTATGAAAACACTTCCGAATGGGATGATTTTGGTGAAGTAATAAATCCTGATGATTATGTAATTAAGGATGAAGACATGGACCAAGCAGCGATGCATGTAAGATTCATTGATGAAGTCCTTCCTTGTAGTATAATTTAGGGAACCGTTTTTTTTGTTTTCTGAGAAGAGAAACCATTTTGTTAAACATTGAATATAATATCCTGTTTGCTTTGAATTTTGAGAATGAGTTTCTTTTCTTCTTTGGTTGGATGAGAAGCCAATACTTTTTGGGTTTAAAATTTGTTGTCATTAATAGCTCACAGTTAAATGAACTTGAATTTTATGCCCTTTGTCATTTGCATTGTGAATGGATTGCAAATTTACTAGAACCAAACTTGCAGGCTGGTGGGGACGTGGATGGAAAACTAGATGAAACTGCTGCTAACCTGATCCTGGATATGAAGCCTTCAAAAGTTGTATCTAACGAATTGACAGTAAGTTGTTCTCTGATTAAAGTTCTTTTAAGGTTTATATTTGTCGGTTGAAGTCACATGAATGTGAATTTGATGTTATTGTCACCAAAATATATAAAACATATATAAAGGTTCTTTATAGTAAAACCTTTTACTTATGGAGAAGTTATAATGAGTTAATGAAAATTTTTTTTCCCTGATCTGTCACTTCTTTTTCCAAGTGCTCAATTTTATATTTTCCATTGATCATCTTTGTTCCCATGTTCAATTTGGAGATACAATCAAGTTATTTATCTACTGACCCTGACGCAGTATATGTTTCTACAATTTCCCTGTCCAGGTCCAAGTGAAATGTTCATTGCATTACATGGATTTTGAAGGTCGTTCAGATGGGAGATCAATTAAATCAATACTCTCCCACGTTGCTCCCTTGAAGCTTGTATGGTGTTTTCTTATAACTGCTGTTGCGTTGTGTATAAATAAGTTTGTGACATTTGTAACTATAGATTGTAGGAAGAAAGCTCAGTGTAGCTGAGTTGGTATATTCTGAGAAATTTCCTATGAGTTGATTGGATATTGATCCACGTTGTGTGTACTCGCGATATCTTTTTGTTGTTTCATTAAGCATTGTTCAGCGTTACCCCAAAAATTACTTATATCAATGACCAACCATTTGATTTTTTTTCTCTTTTTATAAATGTTGTTTGAAGGTTTTGGTGCATGGAACTGCTGAGGCCACTGAGCATCTTAAGCAACATTGCCTAAAAAACGTCTGTCCCCATGTCTATGCCCCCCAAATTGAAGAGACGATTGATGTGACTTCTGATCTGTGTGCATATAAGGTAGGGTACAGTCGAGACTCTTCATTTCCTTTTCAGGTTGTGATTTCATATATTGAAGCTAACAAAATCTCCGATTCTTGAATTTCAGGTACAACTTTCAGAGAAACTGATGAGTAATGTGCTGTTCAAGAAGGTAAAGTTTTGGATACCCATGCAATTTTCTTTCCAAAATTAACTTGTTCTTTACATTAGTGTAAGCAGTCTTCCTTATGATGTCTGACATAATTTCAAGTACAGCTTGGAGATTATGAAATCGCTTGGCTTGATGCTGAAGTAGGGAAGACTGAGAATGGAACGTTGTCTTTACTTCCCCTCTCAAAGGCTGCTTTGCCTCATAAATCTGTTCTTGTTGGTGACTTAAAGATGGCTGACTACAAACAATTTCTTGCCAGCAAGGGAATACAGGTATCTTTGCTTGTGAACCTCCCTCTTGAAGGGAATAAATATCCCCTTTTTGACATGTAGAGACACTAAATCCGCAATGGAGCGAGTAAGAAAAGTGTCATCCTATGTGCATTGCAGGTGGAATTTGCTGGGGGTGCTTTGAGATGCGGTGAGTATGTCACAATACGCAAGGTTGCAGATGCAAGTCAGAAGGTGAGGAATTCTAAAATATTGGGAAAATAGACAAATTGGATATGACTTTTAATATTGCTTACCGGATTATTCCCCAAAGGGTAGCCCGGTTGACAAGGTTTGGGATCTCTTGGTCATACTGGCTTAGAGGTCTCAACTTCGAACCTCCGGTGAACTTAATACCAAAAACCCTTGAGTACAGGAAAGCAAAGCTACGACTCCTAGTTATCAAAAAAATAAAAATGAAAATTGCTTACCGACTTTGAACCATGCTTCGGCTCCATACCACAAATGAAATGCATGTTTGCTTGTAGTGATGTTGTTTGGCTAATACTATCTCCATATTTATGCAGGGTGGCGGTTCTGGTACTCAGCAAGTTGTCATCGAAGGGCCCTTATGTGAGGATTATTATAAAATTAGGGAACTTCTGTATTCACAATTTTATTTGCTGTAGTTTGCGACATGATTTCTTGAGATGCCTCATTGAACATAGAAGGGGTACAGCAGTTATAGAATGTGAACTTCCAAGTGGAAAATGTATTCATTTTATTTTATTTTTTCTGTTCTCATATGTGTCTTTGCGGTATGTTTCATAGCTGAAATTAGACAACTAATTTTCCTATTTGTTTTCCTGTGGAAGTCTATGTAACAGAAAAATGTATGATATGATTCATGTTACTATGGTCGCTGCCTTAACGAGCAAACCAAACCAGTTGTCTATGTACCATAGAAGATTTAGCTATGGCTGGCCTTAACTTTCTATGGTGGAACTCTCAAACCTTCGAGTTCGAAATGGATCAATTTTGTCGAGACGGGTTTCCTGCTCAATGGAAGGAAAACACCGTTGGGTCGACAATTGGTGTCCAGATTTCTAACTGTTAGGATTCAGTTTTTCATAATTCTAAGCATTCATTCAGTTGACGTTTAAAAACTTGTTTTGGGAGTGGAATTAAAGTTGTTCCTTCTCTGCTTAAAAGTCATCTTGCCAACCTAAGTACTATTTAACTCGTTAATACATTTATATTTTATTAAAAAGTCGTGGTCTCAAATCTGTACCCTTCAACGTTATTATATCTCGAAAGAAAAAGTCTTCAACTCGACTAACACGCAAAGTTATTGAGATTAAAGCTTCCATAGTTTACTATATTTTCTCCCTTTTGTTTTCTTTTTAGCTTGAAAATTTTCATCCAATTGAAATCGTGGTTATCTATTTTTTTTTTGTTGGTACTGAGGACATTCTAATTCTTCATATAAATATATTTGGTTGTTCTTTATGACTTTTTTAGATCCTTTACTCATATTATTTTTTCTATTTATTTGATGTATGTAAGGATAGAGGTTCAAACTCTAATTTTTTAATGGTAGATATATATCTGTTTTTTGTTGGCAGTTAGTGAAGGAAAATTCTAAAAATAGAAAAAATTCACAAGGCAACAGTAGTAGTAATGAAGTTCATAATTCACATAGACCATTTTATCGATTATTTAACTCTCAAAGTAATAATATTGAACGCATGGAACAGGAAAAGGAAAAACTCTTGATCTAATTAATTAATTTTAACATAAAATAATATCCAATTAATTTGTCTCCTTGGAGTTACCTTGTTCAACCTTCGAAGTGACGACAGACGGGAAACATAAGGAGGAAGAAAAAACATTCTTCTTCTTCGTTGGGATAGAAAGATAACTAAAAAGTCTTCCTTTTCTTCCACCCTCTTAACCACCAAAAACCCTACTCATTTTTACTCCATACTTTCTGCAATTCAACCCGTTTTTTTGTTTTCCCAATTCATGCTTAAATTATCTGCAAAGCTACCTGAATCCGACCCTTTTCTTCAAACTTCTTCAATTTCTTGCGAGTTGTTCAATCTGCTATTGGAGTAGGAATTTTCATGGCTTCCACTCCTGCCACGTGTTCACCGATCTCTCTCCAGCTTCGGCTAGCGCTGAATTGCAAGAATTGCGCGAAATTCCCTTCAGTTCTTGTTCGGGCGAGAGTGAGGAAGCTGGATCCTCGGGTCCGCATGACTTGTTATCCTATTGTTTATAATGGCGCGATAATCGAAAGAGCAAATGGGCAGCGCCGTAGTGGAGTTTGTTTTGCTCGATCGGATTCGACAGGCGATGGATTCTCAGGGTGGTCGGAATCGGATTCCGGGGAGGAGGTTTTGGACTTGCGGAGAAAGACGTGGTTTGGAGGTACTGCACTTTTTAAATTTTCATTATGATTTTTCGTTGCGGTCTGTTTGATTGCTGAGAAGAAGGGGGAAACGAGAATCTCAATGTCTTATGGAGCTGTAATTTTCTATTATCTTGGGCCTTTCTTTTTCTTGCTATTTTTGAAGGAGAGCCGGCTATATAGGATTTGAACAAATTGCTGGGGAAATTCTTCTCGCCCCATGTTGGGTTACATTGCCGTTATCTTAGTAACAAAAAACTCTTGCTGTTAATGTGGTTCTGATGACATGGTAAATATCAATTGATTATCAAGTTGGGTCACTTTGTTGTTGAACACGTTGATTGGCAATGCCTATAATGATGTTTAATAGTTCCTGGAAACAATTTTTCATTTTGAGATTTTCGTATGGATGAAGTTTAAGAATTTTCAACCTTATGTGCTTGACTGCTCATTTATGTTTTTAGTTTTCCGCTATCAGTTAATTCAGTAATGGTTTTGAAGTAGTTTCTTTCAGGGTTGGTGGGAATTGGAATTACTGGATTCATTCTTGTTTCGGGAATCACCTTTGCAGCATGGTCAATAAGCAAGCAGAATAGTTCCAGTAAGTTCTAACTTGCATATTGTGGCTATAACAGACTTGATGTTGAATTAGTTGAGAGAGTGACCGAGGAATGTTTTCATTCTATGTGCAAGCAGTCATTTGGCTTTATTTCATACTCTTGTTTATAAACTATCGTCCCCAATTCAATAAAATGTTTATTGTAAAAAAAAAAAAAACAAAAGACTATTGTCCCTAATTCTGTAATCCGACCTTTTTTTTTCTTATTCTTCTTACTACAATTATAATTTGTAGGACAAAAGCCACAAATGGAGGCCTTAAGTACGCAGCAAGAATTATTATTGGACTCTGATACTGGAAATGATAGGCTGGGTGAAAATGAAAAAGAAGATAACAGTGTGAATGCAGATGATAGAACTCTCGCTGGTAAAACAGGTAATCATGAGGAATCTTCTTCATATACAGAAAATGAAGATCTCGACAAAAATACAGTTGGTGATGGTGTTGATGTCGAGAAGTTATCAGGAAATGATGTTGAATCTTCATCCAGCAATAATGATGTCAATAATGTTGCTTCCTTCCAAGAAGATTTCCAATCTGATTCCCCATCAGCTGTTACGTCAGTTGCTGCCGGAAGTTTGAGTTCACTTATGGAGACTGATTCTAGTGTAGCTTCCGGTTCTAAAGATGGAAACGACTGTCATGCTGTTGGTACAGAAGTCTTAAATTCTGAACCTGAAATGAACATATTGAAAGATGGCCCAGATAACTCTTCTAATTCTAATACTAATTCATTAAACCCTAAAACTGATATTCAGGATGAAACACCTGACACTAGTGAAAATTATGATTTCAGCTCTGAGCATAAAATGAACCTAGTACCTGAGAAGTTACCACTCTATGATGATAGTACATCAAACCATAATTCTGGCAACCAGTATGAACCACCTGGGCCTCTTAATGAAATTTCAGATTCTTCGTTGCATGAACTTTCTAGCGTGTCTGGCGACACAGCCAAGGAATCAGGATTTGTTGACAGAGAGACTGTGACTGAATCATCTAAACAAGTTCTGAACCCCACCAAAACTGAAAGGCTCTTATCTGAGGCAACTACATCAACCTTAGAACAGCAAATAGAAAGAGGATTATCTGAAGCAGCATTTGTCTCTGTCACAGCTTATCCATTGGTTGATGTTCAAGAGAAAGATCATGAAACTATCATGAATAGTACTGCTGCCAAACCGGAACTACAAGGGATTTTATTTTCTTCTGCAGGTGTTCCTGCTCCTTTGGCTTCTGCAGCTATAAAAACACTTCCTGGAAAGGTCCTAGTTCCTGCAGTTGTGGATCAGGTTCAGGGGCAGGCATTGTCAGCACTGCAAGTTTTAAAGGTACTGTGTGATGCATTTCCAAACTCAGGCCCATCAGAATGTTCGTTTTGTTGCATTTTTCTTAGCATATTCTACTCTGCCTACTGTCTGAATAATAATTATACCGCTACCTTTGCGGAAAAAATAATAATTATACCGCTTGAGAGCCTGTAGCTTCCGACTGGCTAACACACAGCTAGGGGTTTTGACACAGAAGATAATGGACCAATTTTCCTAGGTTTTTTGAAGTACAATATAGCCTGGTTATAATAACTGAATCATGTATCTTAAAGTTTGTAAATTCTTCAGGTGATAGAGGCTGAGGTTGAACCTAGTGATCTATGTACACGTCGGGAATATGCTCGTTGGCTGGTGTCTGCAAGCAGTGCTCTTTCAAGGTAACTATCACTGCTTATAGTTCACCGAAGGATTTGGACTTTAGGATCTTGAATTGGTTAACCTTTTGATTTATAATTTTACCTGAATATAACTGGTGATACAATTAAATTGTCTTCATCCATAGGAACACAACATCTAAAGTATATCCAGCAATGTATATAGAGAATGTTACTGAGTTGGCATTTGATGATATTACTCCCGAAGATCCTGATTTTGCATCTATTCAAGGTCAGTAGGATGTTTGACTTTGAGATAAGAGCTTTTTTGTTATATTGTCTAATTCATCTATATATTTCAGGTTTGGCAGAAGCTGGACTGATTTCAAGCAAACTTTCGAGACATGACATTCTTTCTTCCTTTGATGAAGACCAGGGTCCTTTTTATTTCTCTCCCGAAAGGTTATTCACCGTTTAGGGATATTTACTTTTTATCATTTGTTTCCGTTTGCATTATTCTTTCATTTTAATCATCATCATTATGTATCTTTCCACTTGTTGATTAGATATATCATTCACCTGATATATTTTGACTTCTAAAAGGAAGTTCTCTTGTTTTTCTTCATGGTTTCTGATTCTCTAGGTTGATAAACACGTATGCAACATTTAAAGATTAAAGTAAGTGTATTGTCTATCTCTGAAAGAGTGCATGAACATGTGATGTTGCCTCATGCCAAAGCCTTTTATTACCGGCTAATCTCAGTACTTTTTAAATATTCAATTGCATTGACTGGCTCTCTTTGGTTTGTGGTTGGTCTCCCCTCAACCCCTTAAATGAGCTAAAATTGCTTCTACTATTATGCTGTATCCAAACCTGCAGCCCCCTATCACGTCAAGATCTTGTGAGTTGGAAGATGGCCCTCGAGAAAAGACAGTTGCCAGAGGCAGATAGAAAGGTCAAATCATCTGAAACTTGACTTTTTGGTTTCCTCATTTCCAATTTTATGTGTGTAATTCTCATTTTTATCAAACTTTGGCTTGACTATATGCAGATGCTCCACCAAGTTTCTGGATTTATAGATACTGATAAGATCCATCCCGATGCTTGTCCTGCCCTTGTTGCTGATCTCTCTGTAGGAGAGCATGGAATTATAGCTCTAGCATTTGGTGGGTACATGTTATTGAAATTCGTAAACTGTTTTTCCTTGCAAAACATTCAAATTTTGTGGTTGACGTATCCATTTTAAAACTAACTTTGCTTCTTAAAGGATATACAAGGCTTTTCCAGCCGGATAAGCCTGTAACAAAAGCACAAGCTGCCATTGCTCTTGCAACTGGGGAGGCTTCTGATATAGTAAGTGAGGAGCTTGCAAGGATTGAAGCAGAATCAATGGCAGAAAATGCAGTTGCTGCACATGGTGCTCTAGTAGCTCAAGTTGAGAAAGATATTAATGCCAGCTTTGAGAAACAACTCTCAATTGAAAGGGAAAAGGTCGATGCCGTGGAGAAAATGGCAGAAGAGGCAAAGCAAGAGCTGGAGAGATTAAGATCAGAAAGAGAGAGAGAAAATCTCGCCTTGATGAAGGAACATGCTGCCATTGAATCGGAAATGGAAGTTTTTTCAAGATTAAGGAATGAGTTGGAGGAGCAGTTGCAAGGCCTGATGAGTAATAAAGTAGAGGTATCTTATGAAAAGGAAAGAATCAATAAACTCAGGAAAGAAGCTGAAATCGAAAACCAGGAGATTGCCCGCCTGCAATATGAGCTTGAGGTCGAGAGAAAGGCGTTGTCCATGGCCAGGTAAGGTTTTTGCAGCCTTTTTCTTTTATGATGCCAACATTGAACATGAAATCATTGAATTTACCAATGGGTTATTGAGGAAAGTATCCCTGGATTTGTTTGTGGTTATGAAGAAATATATAAATATAACTAATAAGGAAAATACAGAATCATCGGGAGTAAGATTATTGTCATAGCCTCCGGATCATTTATGAAGCGGTTTTAACGCCCTCTTTTGTCTGTATTCGTGTGATATATGAAACATTTTTCTGCCTTAGATGAAAAAATTTTGTTCCCCATGGAAAAAACACAAATTTTGGTTTACCTTCACCCACAAATGAAAGATTCCAATCTGCATCATGACAGTTTACTTCCATCTCCATGTCTTCTATTTTGTCACGCAGAGCTTGGGCAGAGGACGAAGCGAAAAGAGCAAGAGAACAAGCCAAAGCACTTGAAGAGGCTAGAGATCGCTGGGAAAGGCGTGGAATCAAAGTTGTCGTTGACAGCGATCTCCGTGAACAGGAATCCGCTGGCGATACTTGGCTCGATTCTAGCAAACAGTTTTCAGTCAAAGAAACTGTCGACAGGGCCGAGAACTTAATGGACAAGCTGAAAGTAATGGCTGCAGAACTAAGAGGGAAATCCAAAGAGATAGTCGACAAGATCATCGAGAAGATAGCTTTACTAATATCAAACTTGAGGCAATGGGTTTCCGACGCTGGAAAACAGGCTGAAGATCTAAAGGAAGTGGCCATTTCAAGGGCAAGTAGATCAACAAGTGAGCTGCAACAGAGCACTGCGGAGTTGAGGTTGGCGCTGAAAGAGGGAGCAAAGCGAGTTGTGGGAGATTGTAGGGAAGGAGTAGAGAAAATTACCCAAAAGTTCAAAACATCGTATGGTGATTGAGCAGCTGAGTTGAGTTTTCTATGTATTGTAATTCTGAAGAGCACAATAAAGTTGGCGTCTAGTCTATTTTGGAAAATTTTGTAAGGCACTCTCCTATAATGGAAACTTCAGTCCAAATCTACCATAAATCCCTACACATTTAAATTCATGTGTAGCTATTTAATCAAATTGGATAAGCTGTCGATAATGAACTTAACTCAGTAGTAATTGACACTCGTCTCTAATCAAAAGGTTATGATTTCAAATCAAATATATTAAAAATAATCAAATCAAGTGTAATGATTTTGTCTCTAAATCATTACATTTGTCTCTATAAAAAATCATGAGTTCGAATTTATTATATTTTACTAAAAAAACAAATGGAATGATTTATATATTATTTTTTGAAATAATATATTTGTTGGAAATGAATTTAATTAGAATTCAATTTCGTTAGAAAATGATAAGGGACAATAAACAATATAAAATTAAAAAAGGAGGAAAAAAAAGAAACAATATTAATCAATTTCACAATAGTAATTACAATATAAACTCATTCCAAAATTTACGGATAAGGTAATGGTCGTTTCTAATTTGGGCTTCACTTCTTTCCCGGGCCCAATTAGCTACTTGCTAAAAGAAGCCCAATAACATTTACAGAAGAAAGCCCAAAAGCCCCTTAGTTACCCATCACTCGCCAATATTTTGCTATAAAAGAAAGCTCTGAAAACCCTAGTTTCTTCGCTCGCCTCCGTTCTGGTCCATCTGAGAAGGTAATTCACAAATTCTATCAAGCTCTTCCGGAGTTCTTCTTTCGCTTTTTGTTGCACGTACTTCTCAGATCGATGCCGTAGATTTTTATTCTATTTTATCTGTTTAATGGCTGAGAGTACAGTATGCTGAAGTTCAAATGCCAATATGCTTTAATGTTCCTTAGAAATTTACGTTTCTTTTCCTTTTTTCTGGATCATACAAGTAGTTTCTAGCTTTTGTTTCTTTGAAGTTTAAATCCTTAATAAGTTTTCTGAACTTACGTAGAGTGCAGCACGCTGAAGTCCCCGCCCCGCCCCTTTTTTTCTTCGAAAAACCCTAATCTTCCCCTTAATCATATTATATATAATTTTGAAAAAACCTAATCCTACACCCAGCCGACCGCCTCCTTCTCTCCCCCTCCCCTTCCCTCTCGATTTTTTTCTCAGATTCACAGAATCGAAACTCTCAATTTTTCCGTCCCATCTCCGCCGCCGCCGGACTGTTCAGGTTTGATTACGTCGCCTCCAAGTTCGATTTCCCCATCTCATAGATTTATAGATGACGGTTGTACGTGGGATCTTTGTTTCTGGTTGGAGCTCGCCGAGTTGGCATCAGTGCCAACTCTTGTTGTTCAATCGTTTTTACCTTTCATATTTTTTCTTGTTTGGGGTTTGCTGAGAATAGATGCTTCTTGCATGCTCCGGATTTGTCAAATAATAATAAGTTTGAATTCCCAACCCACCCCCTGAACTTCCTTACTTCTGGTTCGACAGTATATTTGGTTTTTTAGGCTAATGTAACTATTTTTGAACAGGCAATGGCTCCGAAGCAGCCGAATTCTGGTCTCTTTGTTGGACTTAACAAAGGCCATGTTGTTACAAAGAAAGAGTTGGCTCCACGCCCCTCAGATCGTAAAGGAGTGAGTTTATTTTTGCTTCGTTTAACACACATGATTATATATATTATTTAAACTATTCCGTGTCTAAGTCTTATATGAAAAAAAAAGAAGCTTTCTACTTTGTATAGTTGGTTTTCTCAATTTTAAGTTTTTTACCCAATGGAATCTGAAATGCGAAGGGGATAGCTCGTGAGTATGCATTTGATTATTTTGCTTCCCATTATCATGTCAATAGAAAGTCTGAACGTAAACCTATTTGGATCATTATCAGTTTCTTTTGAAGATAATTTATTTCTTACCTTCCATGCATTAATTATTAATTTCTGCTTGTCATCAATTTGATTGACAATGTTGAAATCTTGCAAAATACTCTTCTTTGGTAGACTCTTGAGCATACTCAAACATTTTTCTTCTCATGTGAATTGAAACGTGTTTGGTTCTGGAATATTAATTTCATTCAAAATAATTTTAGTTGTCGCCTTGTAGAAGTCATTGACGTTAATGTCTATTGTCTCTGCAGAAAACTAGCAAAAGAGTTCTCTTTGTGAGGAGCTTGATCCGGGAAGTTGCTGGGTTTGCACCATATGAGAAGAGAATCACTGAGCTTCTTAAAGTTGGAAAGGACAAGAGAGCACTAAAAGTAGCTAAAAGAAAGCTCGGAACTCACAAGAGGGCTAAGAAGAAGAGAGAAGAGATGTCGAGTGTTCTCCGCAAGATGAGGTATTTTTAGAAGGCCTTCAATTTCTCTCCTCTTTATGATTGAATTCTTTATGTCTAATATTTACTTCGACATGCTATCAATGAAATTTCTTGATTCGATTATATTGCTTACTCACATCTTGTTTCTTTGAATTTTTTTGATACAGAGCTGGTGGAGGCGGTGAGAAGAAAAAGTGAAACCTGTCTGATTAATTTTGAAGCCTCAAATTCCCAAAATCTTAAAGACATGTTTTAGATTTTGCTATTTTTGTTATCCAGAATGAAATTCAGTTGCATTTTCAACCTTGTGTTAGATTAATTATGATGGTTTTTAGAACTTATATTTTAATTTTTACGTGTCTTCTTATTTGTACGAACCTTGGGCCATTTGTATCTTTTTTGATATAATTGCCATTAGCCTTGAGAATGCTTTATTTTTGTTGTAGAAAACTGTTAATTTTCGTATTAGGGTAATTTCCCCGAATTTCCACATTCCAGGATTCTCGAATTTACAATGTGACTGTAGGTGATGCCCCAAATTGGAAATTAAACGTTAAAAAGTATTTGCTTCAGAGTTAAGTTTGTACAATGTGGATTTAAAATTTGATTTGTATGTTTGATTGACCCCAAAGGAGTGAATAATTTTAGCCAGTCTAAATAATGTAGGTTGCAATGTATTTTGTTGATTTTGTTGTTGAATATTGCTTTCTGATTTAGTTGAGTTAGTCCAAGATGGGCCTAGGCCTAGATTAGTGAAAAATCAATATGTAATTTCGACAAGAGTTGTATGAAATCACAAATGTAAAATGTTCTTAAAGTTTTATTAACTATGTAATTCTAAATGCACTTTATTAAAAGTAAACGTTTATTTATGGAAAAAGAATTCCTCAAAATCGCAAATGGAGCACTCGGAGAATCATAACCACGTCAGATTTTCAAGCTAGCAAAGCAAGCATCCTTCTCTCTCTTTTCTCTGTCTGTTTCTTCAGTGGGAGACTCACGAGTCACGAACGAGTCGTCTCGTCCGGTCTCCGGCGAGTTGAGGCAGGCACCGCCTTAATCGAAGAGCTCTATGGGTCAAATGACGGTGATCCTCAACTATTCCCCAGCCCCTTCCCTCCTCCAAATTCTCAATGGTACAGTGATCTGGAGAGGTGTCGGAATTCGATTGCTATGCTAATTCCCATTTGGTAGCTTCTTATTATACCATACCATACCATGGGCGGCACTGCCGAGGAGATTGGACAACAGCTGGTATTCGATGTTGAGCATACTATATTTGTTGCGGTGGGCACGAATGTGGACGAGACCAAGACTACGCTAATTTGGGCTGTCCACAACTTCGCGGGGAAGAATTTTTGTCTGCTTCACGTTCATCCACCTCCCCCTGGTGTTGGTCTGAGTGAGTTCTCTAACTTTGGAATCTCATTTATGTTGCTGCGATTTGATGATGTTTAGAACATGGGAAAAAAACAAGATTCGAGTTGAAATCTGGGTCTGATTTACTTCAGTTTACACTATGTTGGTAGTGTCAGCTCAACCTTTGTCATTTGGTGTGGGGATAAAAGATCATTTGCTTAGCGAAGGTTGGATGTCCAGGTGTTAGGAGTATGCGTTGAGTAACATATGACCGAGAGTCCGTTTACTATTCCCACTCAGTAGCCTCAATATTACTGCCTTCATGGCCTCCCATTCCCTGACTTCAATCACCGTTCCGCGTTTTTGTTGAGGGAAGTTATTGATTCACCCAGGTTGGTACTGCTAGGGATCCCGGATTTGTGTAGAGGTTCTGGTTGGATTGAACTCAAGTATGCTATTGCTCCCCCTTGGGATGTGGTTTTTGGTCAAGTCCTCTGGCAGAAGTCAAACCCTGCCGGATTTCTTGATTGATGAGAGTGGGTTCAACTACAATAGTTTTTGTAAATTGTGTCATGGGTTGGGTGGGACTTATCACATTTGTACTAGATGGCTAATAACACAAAATAATAATAATAAAAATAGTATTCTTAAAAAAATTATCGATCAAATTTAACATAGGTACAAAATGTAAGGAAGAATTTCTAATTTTTCATTTATAGGATATACTAATGCAGTCAATGGGTATATTTTTTTTCATAGGGAACAGAAAAGATATTCATTAAGGATTCAATCGAAACAGCCTAAGGGCCATGGAGACAAGGTGTTCCCATGCCTCAATGGAAATGCAGTGAATAAAATACTTGAATATAAATTATGAGATCGAGTTTTTTGTTTGGGGGAGAATCTCAAAGGTTTGTGTGGACACTCAGGCAGGAATCTAGAAGTTTTCCTCTTTAAAATTTACTTGTTATATTTTATGTAAGAAAATATGTTATATATGGACTGATAGGGTGAGTAACAAGAATAAAAACAAAGTCTATAAATGTGAGCATCACAATCATGCACAATAAACGTTCTGGAAATTCGAATGTGAGGTACTGAGGTTGCATTAGACAATATTTTTTGTTGTTATCCAAATCTTTTATAGTGGCAGCTAAATATCATGGACATTTAATTTCGATTGATTCTAATAGATTATTGTGTGAATAATAATGAAACTGTCTAATAAAATTCTTATTTTTGTTTTGAGTTTTAAGGAAGGGAAATGTCTATGCAAGATGATTATATTCCTTAAAATACCAAGAACAACAAACAAAAGAGTCCTAATAGTTGGTCAGTGCCATTAAAGTATTTAACATTTCCAAAAAATTCACGCATTCTGATAGTGTATACATTTAAGAACTAATGTAATGTACAATTGTGGACTTCTAATGCCGGTTCCTTTTGCCTTTTTTTAACGTCATCTGACTGCAAGTTAATATGATGAGTTTATTACGACTTAGCTTTCATATCATAAATGTTCCTATAAAATGTTATCCTTACATGCAGGAAATGAAGGGCCATCGTCCAATACACTAAAAGAGCAGATAGCCAAGGCATTTGAGGAACCTGGAAGGCAGAAGCCTTTTGAACCTCTTAATCAATATGTTGCCATTCTTGCCAAACTGGGGGTACCATTTCATTTCCCATGTTTATTTGACATTAATTTAGTTACTACAAAGACCAAGTTGTGCCTGCATGAGAATGTTAATGAATGGGTGGATGATAAGTTTGTACTTGTCATATTAATCAATGAGAAGTGTTTTATCGGTTTTGATTATATCTCAGTATAATCAATAAATTGACTTATATTTGTAGGTACAAGCCCAAAAGGTATGGATTGAGACAAACAGTGTTGAGAGAGGGATCGTTGAAATTATTGCTCAGTACAGTATTAAATGGCTAGTCATGGGTTTAGACGCAGAAAGATACAATCTGAAGTATGCATCATTTACTGTTATTATGAGCTTTCCAGGAAATTGGACTTTTTGCTACTGTTTAGTGTCAAAATATGTATAGTACCATTTTAATGATGTTTGTGGGATCTGTTTATTCAAGTTCCAAGTCTTAAAAAGCATAATTTACGTAACATGAAGAATGCTTACATCCAAGTGCATTCATTTAGGAGTATAAAATGCATACACTTTTATTTGTTTTAACGATTTGTCAAGCCATAAGAATGGATGACTGAGCGAAGGGGTATATGAATTTCTGACTTATGCATATTAACGGTAATTTTATTGCTTTGAATTGATAATGCATTGCATAAATTACACTTCAGGAAGCTGGACGGTTTTAGCATTTTGGAATGTAAATTTCTAAAATATTTTCATTAAGATTTCTGACTTATGCATATTAACAGTAATTTTATTGCTTTTAATTGATAATGCATTGCATAAATTACACTTCAGGGAGCTGGATGGTTTTAGCATTTTGGAACTTAAATTTCTAAAATATTTTCATTAAAAAGAAAAAGTGCGGTTCTTCGTTTGATTTACTTACTCAATAAAATTTTTAGGAGGTCCACTGGATTAAAATCCAATAAAGCTTTCTTTGTATGCGAACAAGCACCGATGTGCTGCCATATATGGCTTGTCTGCAGAGGACATCTTATATACTCAAGGTACTTTGATATTTTAGAATTTGAATTGGTTTTTATTCTTTCTTCAATTGGCTGCATGTGTTATTTGTTCATCGCTACCTAAGTAAGATTAGTATTAAAACAGGGAGGGCAGAATGGGAAGATTCCATCCACCGCTGCTGCAGAATTTGGACATAGGAACCAACCAATCCAACAATCTGAAACCAGAGTCTGTGACTTGTCAATTGAGTTTTCTAGGTACCTCACATTCTTTATTTCCATGACATCTGGTCTGTAGAGTATTTCTTGTTGTGCTGTTTTGGTTTCCAAAAAGCAGACAAGCAGAATTACATTATTGCAGAACTCTGCAGATACTCAAGAAAAGGAGAATGCATTTGATGGAGTTTTAAGCAGGTTCAGATCTCAAGGTTTGGTGGATCCTAAATGCTCCAATAATGGAATCCTGGGTACTTCAAGGACAATACTATTGTTAAAGAATGAGGTGAGCAGAGACATCCCCTCAATTCAGAAGTTTGAAAATAGCTTCAGTTATGCCTTCTGTTATCTTTCACGTGATTATGGGGATGCACCTGAAAGGTGAACATCTCCTCTCTCTCTCTTTTTTAATGATGGGGTTTCGGGTACTCCACCTACGTATTCCTGAGAGGCTTCACCCATTCTAAGGCCTGCTCCGAGAGATAGCAAGAGGTGTAAGTTATTAAATTTTCAACAATCTAGGACCTCAGTGTATCTCCAAACATCCCTGATCAGTACTTACCACCAGGGCCCCCTTGGCTGAGATTCGAGGGTCAATGGATTTTGCATACTATGGTCTTCAGCATATTTGAGTTTGCATAGTATTCAATAGACAAGGAAATTTGATACATTTTTATTCTTATCAGAGGAATTCAACTATCTTCTAACATCGTTTAAACATCATTGATGGATCATGAATTTGCAGGGTGTAAAAGAAAGGGGACGACCAGTTATCCAGGGTCCTGGTTTGCAAGAAGCCATGATTAATGTTAAGCCCATAAAAGAATTTGCAGGAGTGAAGGCCTGGGAAGAGGAAGATGCTGCGGGTGCAAAATTCAAGGTATTTTCTGATTGTTGCCTGAAGTAGTATAAAATATTTTGATCAGGGAAAGAAAGAGTTGATTTAGGGTAGTTGAGGTTGGCAGGATATAAATTTTGTTTCATAGGTAGGTTGTATAATGTCCGTCTCTCCTCCAGCAGACTATTATATGCAAATGCGAGCCAGCCAGATTAATTGTTACGAGGGCATGTGATAAGGAAGCTTAATGTGTACTAACTGTTCCGATTGAATTATGAAGATTTCCTTGGGAGTTCTGCACTCTAATTCTGTTTATTTCATTTTCTACAAAGGACGTTCTTATTATGTCTGTTACAGGCTAAATCTTTTTTTGTTATGGTCATCTTACAGGCTAAATCAATAGAAAGCTCATGTATGGAGGAGGTGAAAGAAGGAAAAGAGATGGAAGAACTTTTAGAGAGAGAAAAATTAGAAGTAGAAAAGATGAACAAAGAGCGTGATGAGCTCTTGAAAGAACTACACGATGTTCAAGAGCAGACATTGTTACTCGGGAGAAAAGCTTCAGAGTACCAGTGTGATGTGAAGAAGTTGGAGGAGAAGCTGTTTGCAGCTGTTGACCTCTTAGTAAGCTTCAAGGAGAAACGGGATAAGTTGCAGATAGAGCACGAAGGTGCAATGAACAAGCTTAGACAACTGAAGAATATGGTTAAAGGTGAACCTCCATATTTTCGCAGTGCAGAAATGCCCACATTCTCATTCATGGAGATAATTGAGGCAACGAGAAATTTTGACCCTTCCTGGAAGATTGGCGAGGGAAGACATGGTAGTGTCTATAAAGGCCTCCTTCGCCACATGGATGTTGCTATAAAAATGTTTCCTTCATATGGTTCTCATTCCCAATCAAAGTTCCAATACGAGGTAAATCTTAGCCAATGGTAAAGCAAGTCCATTGTCACAGCATTCTCATTTGAAAAAGATTCTATAAAGCAAATTGCTTCAAGAAGTGGTCAGTTTTAAGATGCATTATCATTGGATATATCCGCTCTGTACAAGTATTCGTTATTAGTTTCATGATTTGAAGATCTACTCCTTGTAGAAGCTGTTGATATAACATACTTTTCTTTTCCGTTGACATGCATTGTTTTTTTTTTTAATGAAAAAACAAACTTTCATGAAATTTTAACATTCATTGTTGGGAAAAAATTTTATGGTACATTATAAAGTCATTACTAAATTGACAAGAATTTTACATGTCTAAATTTAATATTCTAATATAATCTCAATAATTTTGCATGTATGCTTGAAGATCAACGTACCAAAAATGTAGGTTATTAATATAAATTAGAGACCCTTGTTTAATTCTTGTTGAAGCATGTAGTTGGGGCGGGCGCAGGCTAGAGGTTATATAGTATCTTTATGCATGAAGATAATCTATTCAGTTATTGAGATTGAACTCTATTATGGATTTCTGACCATATTCTCTTATCAGCCTTGTTATGGTAATACACGCATGACACACAAATAACAGTGGGAACTTAATAAAGTTGATCTCCTATCCTTTATCTATCAGAATCAGACTTGAGTTCACTTTTCACACCTCTATGATTAAAGTTTAAATTTAAGACTTAGCTTTGATACTATACTAACCCAAAAACTTGAGTTGATATGTTAGAATAAGTTTAATCTTTCTCGCTGTGTTCTTTAACATACATATCTTGTTTACCAATTTATGATTGTATACGCAGCTGATTTTTAGCTACATATTTTTAGATGCATTTGTTGATGACTTCTCACTTTTTTTGGTTTTTTATTGGTAAATCACAGGTTGAGGTCTTGAGTAGGGTAAGGCATCCCAACCTGGTTTCAATTATTGGAGCATGTCCAGAATCTAGGTTAATTGTCTATGAGAATTTGAAAAATAGCAGCTTGGAAGACCAACTTGCCTGCAAAGATCACAATCGCCCACTTCCATGGCAAATACGGATTCGTGTTGCTGCAGATATCTGCTCAGCTCTTATATTTCTCCATTACAGCAAGCCTTGCATTGTCCATGGAGATATAAAGCCCAGCAAAATCCTACTTGATGCCAACTTTATTGCCAAACTTGGAGGCCTGGGCATCTCTCGCTTGATCCCACGAGAAGAAAATGCCTTTAATTCTGCCTTCGCGTATGATATGTCAAAAGAAAATAATCCATATATTGATCCCGAATACCTTCAGACTGGAAGGTTCACTCCAGAATCAGACATCTACTCTTTTGGTGTTACTTTGCTGCGAATTCTAACTGGAAGAGCACCTTCGGGAATTGTAAAAGATGTAAAATGTGCTCTAGAAAATAACAAGATTGGTGCCATCTTGGACTCATCAGCTGGAGACTGGCCACATGATCTAGCAGAACAATTGGCTCTTGTGGCATTAAGATGCTGTGAGAGGGACAAATCGAATAGGCTTGACCTTGTCTCAGAATTATGGAGTGTTTTGGAGCCTATGAGATCCATTGCCTCAACATCCTTTTCGAGTATGAAGAAACATTCTCGAGTACCTGCCCAATTTACGTGTCCCATTTTTCAGGTAAAAATCTAGCTAACAGTGGTTTTCAGAGCATGTTTGCTTTGTATTTTATAGAGATATGCAACTTGATTTACATACGAAGGTGATGCAATAAGAGGATTTTACAGGAAATCATGAAAGATCCACTCATTGCTGCAGATGGGTTCACATACGAAGCAGATGCTATAAGAGGATGGTTTGGAAGTGGCCACGACACTTCTCCAATGACAAATCTTAAACTCGAGCACTGTAATCTTGTGCCAAATTATGCTCTTCTAAATGCAATTCAGGAGTGGCAGCATCAACTATGACAACTTCGGTCCAGAAAAATACTACAAACTGGTGAGGCTTGGTACAAAACTGTCCCATAATATCACTTCATACAGGTCACTTACTTATAAGTTATATCCTTTGATGTACAGAACATTGTTATATACCCATACAAAACATAGTCGAATCAATTCTGATTTAAAAGTTAGGTCCTCTGTTAGATGATGATATGGAGTCTGATTGTAACTTGTAATTCCCAACTTTTGCTTTGATAATGCTATTGGAAGTGAAAGTGGTTAGAGTTCTTGTCAGCATCATTTTCTCTTTCTCAGTCAGATAAAGATTGTCTTTGTTGAACTTCTTTTCTCATCTTGAATTGAATGCATTTAGAACATGGGATAAAGATTCTTTAGGGAGTTCTTTTGATAGCTTTTTGTCTTGTAGAGAAAGAAAACAGAAAAGAGGCAACACAAGAAGGGGTTAATGGAATCAAAATCATATAGCTTTACTTAATGCGGCATAAACTTTTTAAACTTTTTTCTTATGCCAAGTAGACTACACACTTTTATCCTACCTTTTAACCAAGACAGTCTATTTTATTTCACCCTGAGAAGTCATGAAAAGTGTCCATTTGCTCTTTCAAGAAATTACTCAATAGTTCAGAACTGTGAGGATCTTGTAACTTGTTGTAAATCAAAGGTAAACTGTAGATAAACTATAGAAATAGATTGAGCATAATGTAAATCAATGACTCTGAAACTTTGTCATTTATTAAAAAAAGACAGTTTCGATATTATCTTTAATCTTTCATAAACATTTAAAAGATACTCTTTAAGGAAAGATCTGCTAATATTTTCAATGTACTCAATTTTACCGTTTTAGATTGTGTCACGTTGTTCTAGATTCTACCATGTTTTTTCATTTTAGTAAAACAAATTTATGGTACAGAAGTTTGAACCTCTAATCTCAGTGAAGCAGTAGGTATCAGTAGGTATCAGTTAGAGTTATGTTTAGTCCAGAACGTATTTTTGAAACGTTTATAAAAAGTCAAAGATTTACAAAAGTTCAAAGCTAGTGTTGAAACATATGGGAGTTTCTTTTCGTTATAATTATAAAATTTGCTTCTTTCTATGAAATATGAATGATATATCAAGTACTCTAAAATTTGGCAATCACATATTTGTGATTTTGTGAAAAATGGTGATGAAAAACACATGGCTAGGGTACTATCTCTGTTTACGAAAATAGCCCTATGGGTTCTGGAAATGGGCCCATCTGTTTGGACCGATTGGGCCCAAATCATAAATGAGCCGACAAGCATGGTTCCTCGGCTGCGCGGCCCAATACCCAATTTTAGTAACGTACGCACGTTAACAGCGCGTGCGCTTGTGTGCTTCCACGTCATACAATTTTCACTTGGGCGTATTTTTATTTAATTTAATTTTCTTATTTTTTGGCCGATTGAACACGAACAGGGCTTTCCTTCTTTTTTATGCCTTTATATTTTCTCATACAAACCTTCGTTTTTTCTCTCTCTGTGGAAACTCTCCCAAAAAACAGCTTCTCTCTTCTCCACCGATCACTTTCTCGAATTTTCCAGGCCCCCTTTTCCTCCGGCTAACGCCCTGAAACTCTCTCCGCATCGGCTCCGATTACGATCCGATCTGTCGCCTTCTCTCTTTCTTGGAATCGATCTTTGTTCTTCTTACTGGTACGTGAACCCAACCGATCACACTTAGTTTTCGTGATTCTATCTGTTTTCGCGTATTGGCTTGTATGTAACTTCTTGTGTCGATTACAGATCACGTGCCCGAGCTCTGGAAATGGTTGTTTCGTTCTTTCGTGATTTTCTTGGCAATTTTTTTGTTTCTTTTGTTCAGTGTGTTTGATTGATGTTTCAATTTATTGCTGCGGAGGTCTGGTAGAGAAATGGACGGAACATTGTTTATATCTGTGTATCGGCCTATCGGGTTCTTCTAATAGTGAATGTAACTTGGCCAAAGTTTTGTGTCCTGTTAAATTGATGTGAGATTTGTGTAATTAATTTGAATGCGATGGCGCATTTAGAAAATGCTAACTTTCGTCTTTCATTTTCCTGTTGTTCTTGATTTCTTTCTTCGAGAACGGAAGCACTTTTGTAAAATTTGGGGAAAACCTATTTATTTATATATATTTTTTTCATCTTCTCATGAAATATATTTTTGTATAGTTAATTTGTTCTAGGATATAATTTTAATTAAATTGCGGAAAATAGTACCTGTTTCCCCATGTAATGATTATGCAGTCTAATGAATTCTTAACTTGGGGTCAACACTTGAATCAGTTGTAGTCATTTGGTCATTTAGAAAGGATCTTGCGCTTTTTCCATTTCATGGTTTCTCCATATGCTGGCACATTTTTAGTGGATGGAAAGCTTCCTTTCTTCTCCGTTTGCAGCACACTATTAGAGCTAATAACTCGTGCTTTATTTCCTTGATTCACCTCTGATTGGTGTAGTTGTACGGTTAGGGCCACTGGTTTCTGCTCTCCAATATGTAATATATATTCTTTTTTGGTTTTGTGCAGTGTTTCTGCCCTTGAGCTTTGGGTTTTAAACTTGGGTGTAGATGCCAGTTGCGAAACTCAAGACCTCTAACTATCCAGATGTGATGAAATCGGAGGAGGGAAATGATTCTCTAGACACTATTATTAGACAAGCAATAGGAAAAGAGCCTTTTCTTTCTTTCTCGAGAGCTGGTGAGAGCCCAGTCCAGTGGATTCAACTTCTTCATGCGCTAGATCAACAAGGTACTGCGAGTGTTAAATTAGTTCGAATTGCAATGATGGGGCCTCTTTGAAATCTGATAGCTAATTCTAATATTTTGAATGTTGCAAAAGCATGTTCTGTCCTTTGGTATAAAGCTTATTGCTTTGTAGGACATATTGAGTTCCATTTACTTGCATTTCAAGTCAAAGGGAGAACACAATCTTTTGATATATACAATATTTTTAGACAACAATCATAATGGCCTGGATCAGGAACGAAGCTGCAAGAATTTCTTTTGCATGTGTGCCAATTTGTTCTTCTTTTAGTAAAGCTTTTTCAACATGTGTATACACACTGTTCATGCCTCCGCTCTTTATTGTTGATTAACGAGTATCCTTTTATAAGGACGAAGCCTCCTAGAAGGGGGTCAAATTTTCTTTTAATAAATCATTTTTTCTTAAATCAAATCATATGCTTTGCGCTGCAGTTACTTATTTAACTGTCGGGATGCAAAATCTTTGAAATGTGTTTTATCTTTTTGACAGAACTTCCAGGTTGGCCATTGCTCTCTCCTTTAAAGGTTCAAATGCAAAAGTGTGAGAAGTGTGCACGGGAATTCTGCTCGGTTATCAACTATAGAAGACATATACGAGTGCATCATAGGCTGAAAAAGCTAGATAAGGTGTTTCCTATCAGAATTACTTTATCTTTTGACTTGGAGTTATGTGCTTGCCGATTATTAAATTACGTTGCAATTTTGCCTTTTAATTGTCTTTTTTCTCATTGATTTCTTGCTTGTTTGAACGTAATTGTTCTTTTGCACATTTTAGGATTCTGCCAAAAGTAGGGATCTACTAGCAGCATTTTGGGACAAGGTAAACTTTGTCCACTATCCACTGCCGGTTGTTATACATGGTCTCATTCTTTATTTCAAGACTTGTTCATTGAAGTTATTCTGCATGGTTTATTCCTTTATTAAAAAAACTTATTCATTGATATTTTATACAGCTGTCTTGGGAAGAGGCGAAGGAGGTTGTATCATTCAAGAACGTCCTATTCGAGGCAAGTCATTCCTCAGTTTCATTATGTACTTTTTTAATTCTTGTATAAAATTTCTCTATCTTTTCCATGCCATCTTTAAATCATTTGATAGAAATGAAAAAGAAACATAACTTGAAGAAAAGTCCTTGCAGTTTTTAGATATTGTCTGTTTTATGTTCTCTTTATTGATTGGTCTGTGTAAACTAATAGGGAATACAAGGATCGGCTATAATCAAGAACCTAACGGCTCTTATTGGAAAACCTGGATTCTCTGCCCTACCACATGTTTATTTGAGGGCAGGTTCTGCGCTTTTGGTACGTTCATGTTCCACTACCAGCCTTTATTCTGGGACCTATCAGTTATCAATACATTATTGTGTACACATTTATTTATATTGCATACCTGAACCTTTTCAGGACATTGTACAAGGTAGACCATCTAGGTTTCCGATGACATCTCAGGAGTTATTTGAAATTCTTGACAATGCAAGCGAAAAAACGTTTCTATGTGGAACGGCTGTCTCTATGCAAAAATACGTATTTGATGGGGAGGCTACAAAGATAGGTCTTGAAACTAAGAACTTAGTTGCTTGCATGAGCTTCTTGGTGGAACAGAAAGTGGTAAGTCTTAGTCCTTTAATTTTAGTACACACACTTCTTATGTTCTTTCTTGCTGATAGTTCCAGCTTTGTTGTGGGCTTGCCAAATATGCTTGCAATATACTATTTTTATGCAATCATATTCACATGATTACTTTTTTGTTTGCTCATTAACATGTCCTTCAACCTTTTCTTTAAGGTCAAAGCATGGCTTGCTGACAAGGATGCTGAAGCTTTGAGGTGCCAGAAGTTGCTGGTAGAGGAGGAAGAAGCTGCTCAAAGGAGGTATATCCATTATCATCTCCATCCAATTTATCCTTCTGCATGGTACCTTACGTTGTAGATTCTTGTAAGAGTAGCATGATCTAGCAGGATATAATGGACCTTGGTAATGTTAGCTGAGATTAGATAAAAATAGTTTTAGATTAATAGTAGTATAGCTATAGATAAATGGTGGTACATCTGCTATTTAATAGGAAACAAAAAATTTAATGTCTTGAACAATTATTTCTTGGTAAGGAACAAGCTTACCTTACCTTAACCAGTGTACTCCGACTTGATGGGTCCTTGGCGCTCTTAACTTAGTTGCACTAACTATTACGTCCTTGTGTAGGTTCACTGAGCCATTGAAAATAAAAAATATACTTGCTAGGGATACTGACCATTCAAAAACTTGCTTGTTGTGAATACTCTTCTTTGTGTCTTAGAATGCTTGTTCCTCACTCATGTGGTTATCTGTGACTGTGTAGACAAGCGGAGCTGTTGGAAAGAAAAAGGCAGAAAAAGCTAAGGCAGAAAGAACAAAGGTCTAAGGAGCAAAAACACGAGGAGAAGGGTGATATGGAAGGGAGTGTAGACGAAACAATTGAAGATGTGTCACCTGAAGAATCATCGAGCCCTCAGACTGAGTACCATTCAGAAGGGGAGTCTCGGGGCATACTGCCTGATCATATTCCGTCATCTTTTGAAGCATCTCAACAATCACTAACTGATGAAGATGAGGATTCTGAGTCTCATTCTGGGTTTCGCAGTTTGTACCCTGAATATCTTCCTATTGATCAGAATGGTGAACAGCAGAAAGTGCAAATGAATGGTCACAAGCATGTCATTGCCCAATGGCAGGCGTTGCCTAAGATACAAAGGGGACTTTCCAATGGTTTTCGTGCAGATCAGAATTATCAGGGACTCAAAAATGGAGATATGCGCAGGCATGGAAACCATGTGCAATCAAGAGCTGCTCCCATTGTTAATGGAAAAAAAGTATGGAGCCGGAAGCCTAAGCCAGAAAGGGATGGAGATCGTTTTCATGCCAGGATTCAGGAAGAGCCTACGGCCCAGGCAGAGGAAATTAAGAGCCATGAGGTTTTGATTGGTTCTATTTCAGTGGCGTTAGGAAATTGCAACCAAGAGAGTAAAGAGCCAGCTGGAGCTCAAGATGATTGCCAGGATGGTCATCAAACGCCAAGGAAGATTAATCATTTGGAGAAATTCATTAAGCCAGATTCTACTCAAACTGCAACAAACCGAGTGATGGTTAAGCTTTGGAGGCCAGTAAGTCGTAATGGATCCAAACATGCAATGCCAGATCAAAGTGAAAATGGCGAATCTGAAGCCGAAGTGATAACTGAAAAGCTGGAAGATCAGGCCCTGCTGAATACATATTCGCCAAGATCCTCTTCCTTGGATGGTGATACTGGAGACTTTGGAAACAACTCCTCTTTGGTTCAGGAAGAAGAACCTGTGCAACCAGTTGGCTTGGAGTTCTCTAGCCGTGCTGCCAAGGCTTTCCTTGCACAGAGTAAGTTAAACTTTGTTACACATTTTGCCTTTTGCCGTCATTTGATGTGGAAAATTGGGCCCATATCTAACTTTGAACTGTTGTTGCAGGATGGAAGGAGGCTATAACAGCCGAGCATGTTAAATTGAATCTACCCTCGGATTCTGAGTCTTCTGGATGCTTTGAAGTTAAAAATGAGACTGAAACCTCCTCTGGATTATTCCAATCGTCAAACATTGAGAAACGCAATGTTCTTGGAAATGCAATAGTGATCAACTTGGAGGCTCCCAAGTGCTCAGCCAATGAAGGCGGCAAGACCAAGTTCAGGACAAAGGGTGCGAAGATAAAGTACATTCCCAAACTTCGAACTACTACCTAATAGTGGAGACAGGATGATGGGATCTAACCCACGAGTTGTTTTTTACATTCTTTGCAGAGCCAATTTTACCAATGGTCTTCTGTCTTGGAAGTTTAATATTTTCTCTCTTTTCCTTTTTCCTTTTCCGGGAAATCTTTTATGATTCTGTCCTTCGTGTCAGCAGATTTGTTAGCGAGGAAAATTCCTTATTTTTGGTATAATTTCTAGATTTTCCTGTAATATTTTTGTTATTAGTTATGGAAAAGGTGCATCTATATTTTGCCTTGCCTCTCATCTTTCTCATCTAACGAGGCAATTTTTTAGCATACTTTCCTTCACGGACACAGAACTCCTATTTCATACCAAGTTCCCCATCACGCAACATTTGCTGATTTAGATCAAATTTAGAATAATACTAACTTCCAGTACCATTAAAATTTTGATAGAAAAAAAAAACCTCTTTTTTCATTCTCCTCCTTTATAAAAAGAATATATATATAAATGGTGGTCGGTAATATACTGATCAATAAGTATTATCTTAAAATTTAGGAAAGGTGAATTCTTCCTCATAATTTTAAATGTCATAATTTTAAATGTGAAAGTCTCGATGTCATGAAAATATAGATAAATTTAAAAATAATTCATATTAATATTACGTATAGATTAATGACATTTTTGATTTTATCAATTTTTTTTGTAATAGGATAAAAATGTGCGGATATTTAATACCATGTTCTCATATTGTATGTGAAGAAATCATCATAAAGGGACCCCGCCCTCAATCATCATGATGCCACAGCTTAAGCTGCTTCTTCTGCGAGACTCCAATGCAGAGGTAAAAAACCTCCTTTTCAGTGTAAGAAAATGAATATTCTTGAAGTGTTGTGCGACCATAGAACTTAGAAGTAAGGTAAGGTAATAAAACAACCTACCAATTTACCCAAAATGGAGTGCATTCAATAGTCAGGTCCAAACTTTAGTATAAAATGACAGCCATCCCTGAACTTCCATAAATCATTTTAAGGAACTACAATTGCATGCACTGTACAAGTTCCTGAATCTCAACAAGACAATAACAGATACCGAAGCCAATTCATTCCTTTAACATTTGTACAGCATAAGTTTCTCTCTCTCTCTCTTTTGCCTTTTTTTGGCTGAAAGGAAGAAGGCTCGAAGATGGTAATGACCATTTGTTCCTTCAGTCTTCTATACGATGCTCTAAAAAAATGTACATTTGTCACTGCTGTAAGTGCTTTCCTAGTTGAGGAACTGCATAGGTGGCTACTTCTCTCTATCTCAAGCAACCTCCCTTTCACATTGGATCATCAGAAGCCATCCCGCGTGAACAAAATTAAAATTCTTGCATCTCAGATTAGTTGGTCAGATGATAAATGGAACACTTGAACACTGTACAAGCCGATACGTCACGTCATTGCTGGAACAAATCGAGCCAGATGTTAATTTAGTCGCACAGCTGCGCCGTCTTATCCTCCAAGAATCAAAATGTGAAAAGAATTATCTCCATTGGTCTGCTGGTGGAAGACTTCATATACCAGCTACTTCACTTTAAGAAAATCAGCCTTAGTCTACTGTTCCCTCACCCTCTGTTCTTATATAACGAAGTATTTTTTGGCAGTAATGATTAGGTATTAACCTCTCCAATCCGACAACTAGCTCAAATAGGTGGATGCATTAGGAGTCAGATACCATTCATGCGGCCAGACAAAGCAGGGCTAGGACTCAAATCCAGAGAAGGGTTTGTTTTAACATGATCTCTCAGCAGCTGTCGGGACACTCGATCAGCCAAAACTAGCTGTCCGTCGTAAGACGCGCCATAAGCAGACCTCCCGACCTGTTTTCCCAAGATATCATTTTCTGGTATCAGTTCAGAGAAGATGTGAGCCCCAGGCTGCAACCCTCGAAAAATATCAGGATTTGAATCATGAAAGGAGAGGCCACTGCTGTACGGACTATTGTTTATGGACTTTGGCATGCTTCCAAATCCCTCTTGCAAGTATATAGATTGTTTCAGGTGGTTGTAAGGAATTGCACCACCACATCCTGTCAGAGGTGTGGACGAGCCTGATGTGGTTCGTGGACTTGATATAGGTGAAGGAGACATTCTTCCACTGGGATGTTGAGGTGATCGCGAGTGCAAAAGAGGGCTTCCAATTGGTGAAACGGGACATGATATGTTTCTGGGAATGTTGATTTCACTGGATGAGAAATGAAATCAGAATCAGTCAAATAATCTCTTTTTTTCTTTCTTTTTTGTTTTCTTGGTTAGGGTTGTGGGGGGAAGAGAGAACCTGGCATGAAGAACAGCTTTTGAGACTCTTGAAGAATGAACTGCAAGTCTGTCTGAGTCCACTCTAGTAGGAATCCGTGATTGACCAATACCCTGGAAGTAATTAATTGACAACAGTCAAAACCAAGAAGGAAAAAAAAGAAAAGACAACTTCATTCACTGAACTAATTCGTTTTCACAGCTGAGGCACTAGAATCTCTCCAGATTCTAAGCTAAGTGTGCCACAGTTGTATTTAAATATCAAGAGTCCACCAATCTGTCATAGATGTATAGCTAGTTGTCTAACTTAGTTAAGTATTCGAGTAAAAGGTCAATATAAAAAATGCTGACAACAACAAAACCCACAACCAGGAAAGAACCACACGCTTTGTGAGATAATATGCACAGTGATGAATCAAAAAGCAATTTTAAAAGTGTGTATACCAGAGTCTTCACTCCGTTTGTAACCCCAGGAGTTGCATCAGAAGGTTCAGAGCTCAAAATAGGCCTTTCTACAGGTGCAGCATATTTGATGAAGGGATGCTCCAAAAGTTGAGCAGCAGTAGGTCGATGAAGTGGGTTTCGTTGCAGACATTGTCTCACAAAATCCTTCCCATCGTCTGAGAGGTGATCTGGAATTACTGGGAGTTCTTTGCTATTACCAATCTTAAACATCGCCGCGACCTTTTAAGCAAGAATATAAAATGTTCCACCATCAGAATAAAGAACGACGCACTATGTCAAAATCGTGATAGTAAGCTTCAAGGAAGCATTGAACTTTGAGACGAATAAACAATGATGTGCCAAATAAGAAACATGCGTATGAACTCCAATCTTAATGAACAGTTCTCAGTTTCGTATTGAAGGGGGAAAAAAGTTCAAAACCCTCCGGAAAAATTAGCTTTGAGGATGAAAAATGATTATTTGCAATTTAAATCTTATCAGTCCAATAGATATTTGAAACGAAGTGAATTTTCTCTCGTCCAGAGAGACTTATATAGCTTACATATTTAAACACGTCCCTACTTACCCCTTCATACTGGCTCCAAGGTGGCTTTGTAGTAGCCATCTCCAGAACAGTACATCCAAGACTCCAAATATCAACGGCAAGATTGCAACCATTCGAGTTCTTTATGACCTGGGAAAGTTACAGGAGGGTCAGAATAGATGTATCATTTAGTTATGATTTTTATTAAAGATACAATAAATTCTGACCTCAGGTGCCATCCAGTAAGGGCTGCCCTTAAACGACAGAGGACATGATTGGCCTGTGATCTGAAAGCAAAAAGAAAGAGGCAGTGCGTTAACCAATTAACATCCTGAATCAAGTGAATAACGATCATATATTAACTGCTCTCTCAACGTGTGCCTTGGATGTAAAGTTTTTTGTTTAATTTTATCCTACTATAAATATTTGTGTTGTTTAAGGATTTGAGTATATCCAAATACTACACTAATAAGATAGCAACTCCTTTAAATTAAATTATAATACATTAAGATATAGAAGATAAATATGAAATCTTAAATGTGTATTTGTTGATTATTTACCGATAGAGAATGACAACTCATGAGTTTTCAATAATATTCGTTCCTCGTGCATATAGCGATTGAATATAAGGGTTAAAAAACATAATTTAATAAACACTAATATAAATAATATTTTTATTTGCCTTATTACAATCCAGTTAAATTATCAAAATTTTAGTAATAATTTAAAAAATTACTTGTTAGGTACAATTTCATATTCACAAGATAGTTGATAACTGATAAACAAAAAGAAGAAAAAAACTTGCACTATAAATTTAATGATTGGACATGTCAAAATCAGAAATGCTTTCAAATCATATCATTTAAGGTTTAGTAAAGGTAAAAACCATGAGCTATCTTACATGCTTCGCCATCCCAAAGTCTGCCAACTTAACGCGACCATTTGGGTCAACAAGTATATTTGCTCCTTTAATATCCCTGTAGAGATTAGAAGTAGAATAAGATTGTAGCAGCTATTAGTACTGCATGTCCCAGAAAATTTGTGGGCGCAGAAATCACCTGTGCACTGTAGTTTTAGCATGTAAATATGCAAGCCCTGATATTATTTGTTGAGTATAACTACGAATTGCTAATTCCCCAAATTGTCCATACTCTTGAAGAAGTTTATAGATGGAACCACCGGATACATACTCCAGGTATATATAGAGTTTATCACCCACCTGTTTTACAATTTCAAATAAATAATTAGATTTCTAAAACATGGAAAATTATGTAACCGCCAAAATCTAAAATTCCAACTACACCCATTGTAGCTATTACTGTTGGAACTTATTAGAAATTAGGTTTCAAGCCTTATCCTATACAACACAAAGACTTCAATAGAGCAATGGCATGGCAGAGTAAGGTGTTCATTATGATTTGCTTGCATTAACACATCATCATCTTGAACCTCTCACTATCTCTCTACTACTACACCTCAACATCTTCCTTCATAACAAAAAAAAAAAAAAAAAAAAAAAAAAAAATTAGAAGCAAAATACTCACTGTCTCCGAACCATAATACTGCACAATGTTGGGATGCCGTAAACGGCTCAGCAAAGCAATTTCCTGCCAAAAAATAGGAAGGTAAATTCTTGATTAGACATAAAATAGCGTAGAGTAAAAAAAAGGAAGCACTGGATGCGATCTGCATAAAATGGAACTTGTACCTGCATTAATTGTTTAGCACTTTCCTTAGACTTTGCATCATCAGAAAATAATGTAACCTCCTTCATTGCACACATTTCACCACTTTCGCTAAATGATTGTAATAAGAGACAAGAAGAATCAGAAAGTGATACATCAAACGAAAAAACAACAGAATGCTACCTACTAACTTGTCTGTAGTAACAAAATTGACCATGTTAGGCACTAAATAACAACAGACCTCACGAGTAAGAGAAATAAATGGCATCAATACTATAATCAAGGTAGCATCATTCTTTAGACAAGCCTACGGCATCATAGCTTTTTCCCCTTTCTCCCTTTTTTTCTTTTTCTTTTGAGGTATACAGCATCATAACTAGTATTGGGAATGAGCAAACTTTTGCTTGAACCGATGACAATGACAAATTAAACGTTTATTTTGTTAACATACCTATTAAAACCAACATATACGTGCCCAAATGTGCCCCGACCCAGTAGCTTCCCCTTCTTCCAACGTGAACCTGGGCTTGCTGGAGTCTCTGTCCTTCCTGGACTCCTAGGCACTGAAGGAGATGTCACTGCTGAATTTGAATGAGAAAATGGAGAAGAGTTTGAGATTGCTATGGGAGGAAGAGGCAAACGATGAGTTTGTTTCTCATCAGGCCAGCACGTTTGTGACTCAGCAGGTGGAGCTCCTGCTCTAGGATGAATAGGTGTAACAGCACCACTTTGAATTCTGGAGCTAGGGCCGGGGCTAGTCATTCTAGAACTAGGTACTGGAGAATATTCAGGGCTACCCCTACTTTGTTGCCAAAAGAAGTGGCCCGCCATATCACCTCCCATAGAGTTGTGCCCTGAATTGTGACCGGAACCAGGACTGGAACAGTGGCCAGAGCCACCTAAAATGACATCTGGGTGAGCCTTTCCAGCCCAAACGGCAGTGTTCATGACTTGCTCAGTGCTAAATACTCTCATAGGACTTCTAGAGGGACTAGACATGGAGCTATCTGGAGCGCTAAAAAAGGCCCCATGACGAGGAACTTGTAGATTTGTTACATTGCTGCTTAAAGGCCTCCGTTTGGGTAGTGAAGAATTCTTATGAGAAAGTGAAAGAGTTTCTGCTTGTTTGCCCTCCCTTAAATTTATTTGCAAGACAGTAGGCGACTGATCCTTGAGAGTTGCACTTCACAAAAATCCACCAAATATGTCAGGGGCAAACAAAATAATAGTTTAAAGAAACAATGCATCAGACTACAGACAAAGGAAAAGAATTACTCTAGAGTGGAAGATGCAGATGGACTAAAGACATGCGAGCTTACCAAGGTTCGGTAGAACCGGTCACAGTTCTAGTCCCAATGTCATAGTCAGTCGCCTGAGGACTACGTTGACGTGAATCATTAGGATCTTCACTATCACTCGAGGACTCACCAGAGACTGAACCAGTGACCAAGTCTCCATCCAAATCTGCAGGATCTGGCCTACTCCGAATACATGCAGGCCTAGGGAGGGGTAAGAATGAAGATGTCTTGGAGCTTCTCTCTAATTTTAATTTTGCAGTCACACTAATCCCAGAATCTGTGCGGCCTACACCTACAGGGTGCTGATGTGGAAGTGGAAGTTGGTGAGAACGTGACCTTTCAGCAAAACTTTGACATCTGGATACTTCTTTGGAAGGTGATGGTGATCCTGATAGAGGTGATTTAGACCCCTTCTCAGATATAGTGTCAGCACCACATCGCCTACGAGAAGTTCCTGACCTGCCGTTTACTTTACCTTCAGGTGAATTCTTGAATTTACGGTGTAATGAGTCAATGAAACTTTCCTTGCTCGTTTTCTTCTTCACTTCTTTGGATGACGACTTCCCCCACCAAGAAGGCATTTTTGTTTTTTACCCTAAATTATGTGGAAGCAGCAAAGAAGCGACTCTAAGTTCAACTCACTCTGCAGAGTGAAAATATTTCGTGAAATTTGATGATTAAGCAGATGCTACACTTCCAAAGCATCCGACGGGTAAATGATATCCTTCCTACCATATGTAACTATTACCCCATAGGCATGCTGGTAAAGCTGTGACTGAGTATACAAACTACCGCAGCAGCTAGAATTTGAGAAAGCCCAATAATCAGGAACTTGCAACAAAATCCTGCATGTAGAAGGAAGTGGAAGTTTGAGTGCTTAAGATATGAAGAAAATGATGTATCTTTTGGAGAAACAGCATTCTATTTAATTCTCTAATTTATAATTTTTTAAAAAATTAATAATAATAGTAGTAAGTAGCATGAACACTTCAAAGCACGCTTCAGCATGCAGCAAATTCAGGTGATTCATATGACTTCATGACATGTTTCAAGCAGATGTGAAGCTATTTGCTTTATATTTTTCAGTACCAAACTGTAAAACTTTTATTCATAGAGGTCTGGTATGTTTCTCTTAACCTTTTGGAGTCTTCAACTATACTTGCATTACTACGCTTCAAATTTGAAAATTAGAAGCAAGACTACTGGACAGTACTGCATTTCGAGACTGATATGGTCCACAACCATAAAATACCTTTGAACTAAGAGGTTATTGGAGAGATTTTTCAAGCTCAATTTGACTTTTTTTTTTAATTGTAACCCGGCTTTCATTGAGAAAAAAATGGAAGTATTTGACTCTCTTTTATATTCCTCAAATCTACTACTTGATTGGGGTTATAAGGTGTTGTCCCAATTCTCACGTAATTACTTCTATTGATATAAAATGCAACCCTTGATTTATATTAAAAAATAAATAAATAAAAGCTTCACTGATGGATATGCCGTATCAAGGATCAGAGGATCGTGAATCAGGAAACAATCAAAGTTCAACTATACTTAAAAGTGAACAACACTCCCTCCCCTCCAGAAGAAGAAAAAACACAGTAGTGATATAATTAATAAAAGATGGGAAATAATCAAAGTTGACAGACAACTTAGAATCTTCGCGATAAGAATGAAAGTTTGAGTTCATTAATTACAGCGCTGAACAAGTAAAAGAAATGTGATAGTCAACACAATCAACGAATAATCGAATGATTCTTCCTCCCTTACACTCCAGAGAAATTTTTTTATTGAAAAAAAAAAGAAAAAAAGGAATAAATTAGACCAAAGAAATAAACTCAAATCCAACCTCTAATCGCTTATGTCATCTGAAATAAACCAAATTCCCACAGCAACAAAACGAAACCAATGATTTATCTCCGTCGTCACCGGCGACACTTTCAAATGTCCTTTTTCTTATAATTTCCACGGCTGTCTACGAAATCAAACAACGAGCTACAAACGTCCATATTCCTCAAAACTCTACTCTACGATACAGATCTACGAAGAATCCAATACAGATAAACTAGGACAGTGACTAAGGAAACTAAAACCAGATAATCAGTAATTTACTAAAACTAGAAGAAGGAAATGAAAAGAAAAGTGTTACCTTAAACATTGGAAGCTGCAAATTCCAGTAGAATCCCACTATACTCGCCCAAATCCTAGTGAGGTAGACTTCCGCAACAATTCAAACTGAAGACCAAATTAGAAAAGAAAGAAAACAACGAAACCCTAGTAATCTGAAATCACAAATTATCACAGGCGAAGCGTTACATCAATCAAGCTTCTCCATTTTATGTGAATTGTGGGATTCATAAAATCGCGTAGCAAAAAGTGAGAGAGAAAAACGAGAGAGAGAGAGAGTATGGCTCAGCGACGACATGGAGTTGTCCGAAAGTTGATATAATTTAATATATTTTAAGAAATGTGATTAAAATAAATTATTTCATCATTCATTGCTTCTCTCTCTCTCCTGCCACCATAACATAACCCTTATTTTTTGTAAAGCATAGTTTAAATATTTAATTTATCATCTAATTTTTCAACATTAATTTTCAAGTTATTATTTAGTTTATTTTAATTGTTGTCTTACGTTAATGTGTTAACGACATTGTGTCAACCATGTAATGGTAAAATTTTCATTAGAAATATATAATAATGAAGAGGGTTCTCGTCGAAAAATACTTATATATTAGTTTAGAAATTCAAATTTTAAAAAATTAGTTAATATGTGGATTAATATTAGTGAGTCATTCTTTTAAAATGAAGTCCAACGACAAACTCATGTGAATTAATGTTAAAAAATATATCACACATATCATTAACATAATAATAATATATCATATTAATATGGATATAAAGAGAGTGTGTATATTAGTTGTCTAGGCTTTACAGCATAGCATTTAAAAAGCCTAGCATTTAAAAATGTTACCAACTTGAATATAAATTTCGTGGTTAAAACATTTTTACTAGCTTGAATGAAGTGTAGTGAATTAAAACGTCTGATATGATGTAATAATCTAAACATATATTAAAAATGACGAGGATTCTCTATTAAACACATTTAACATTTCTTAGATGATAATTTTCCCAACATATGCTTATTAAAAAAATAATCTCTCTTGTGATGGGTTTTAGAGAAACATATGGAATATTTCTATTTTTTTCCAATTTGATTGAGAATTGTGATTAAATGATCAATAAAAATTTATATTGTCAATGTTGAAATTATAAATTGTAAATTTATAATTTGAAATGAATAATATTTTTTTTATATGAAGAAGAAGAATCCAACCACAATTTTTTAGTCGGAGATAGGTGTTTTAAAATGTTGAGTTATAAACCATAAATTTATAGAAATCTAGTTATCCAAATATATTTTGTCAAAATTTGTGTTCTAACAACCATAACTATTTTCAAACGACATTAAATATTATTTGTTGTGACAATATTAAGAATGAAATTGAAACCAATTCATAATATTAAAATTTTAGATTTAGGATTTGTTTAACAACTACCTTGTTCTTGTTTTTATTTTTAAAAGTTTAATTTTTATATTATTTAGTCTATTATCGAACCTAAGTTTTAAAAATATCATTGGATTCTAAAGCAAATTCGAATACTAAAAAAGTTTTTGAAAACAGTTCAATTTTATCAGGATTTTCAAATCTGATTTTAAAAAAGTAGAAACAAAATAAATAAAATATTATTAAATAATGTTATTTAAAAAAAGATAAATTAAAAACAAATAAATTATTCGTGGGACCTTAATCATTAAGTAAATAAGTTATGATGTCTAATGTAGTAGGGTTCATGATTTTGTGTCCCCGATTTATTTATATCTTTTAATACAAAGTTAAAAAAATATAGTAAATGCAATTAATTTTCATAGATTTATTTTTTAAAATAATCGAATAATCAATATCATATTTTTTAAAAGTAATTAAATAGGGTGATGATAGTTAAAGACTTATGTGACATGAGTCTAGTCAAGAAGAAAATACATTTTTTTTTCAACTATAAATTCTCTACCTTATTTGTAAGATTCCTGCCTACAAAATTTTCCATCTCTTTTTATTTTTTTTTTAATTTTCTTTGATTAACTTTATAACAAAACATAATTATTCTTAATTTCACAAACAAAAACGCCGAGAAAATTGAGAACAACAAAACTTAGATTCATAACAAAAATTTAATCTAAAGGTAAAATTTTCAATTGTATTTGACGATTATATAGTTTGCAACTCTAAAGTTTTTATAGTTATATACATTAAAAAGGATATTAATTCCTAAAAGTACAATAATATGAAAGAATTAATGAGGAAAAGTGAAAATGATGGGGGGCTAGATGAAGGAATAATGAAAAATGGAGGGGTCATTTTCGAAGAGAAGCATAAGTTGAGGGACATGAATAATATTTTATGGCTGCAAGAAAGGTAGGGTGTTGTGTTGCAGATGAAAGCTGGCTAATCTTTCTACCAAGGGAGATGTATAACACTTAATTGAGGAGACTTGTGGGAGTTGGAATTGTACCTTCGCACGTGCCGTGGGCCCCACATTTTTATGCTACATGCTTGAAAAAATAATAGACCACAAGTTTTTTAAATAATTCAAAACTANTGAATTCAAAAAAAAAAAAAACTCGATCCATTTTTTAAAAATTACACATGTTTCATTGAAATTTATTTGTTTCATTTTCCGTTCATTATTAAAATATATTTGAATATTTATCTAAATTTTAAGAACAAAAAATATTGTTTAATATATTATGAAAATGTTTTCTTTTTCTTTTTCGAATATAATAAATGTGAGAATAGGATATTGAATMTTTGACTTAAATAATATCTTTGTCTACTAAACTATGTTTAGATGGTAAATTATACAAATATTTTTTAAAAGTAGATAACAAAACAAAGAATCACATGRGTGGAACGTGAAATAATGTTTGTAAGCATAATTTTAAAAAGAAAAAGCAAAAAAATAAGATAGGTATTAAATGGAGCTTAAAATTTTGTAGAAAGAAAATAGTTTAAAAAAAATACTAAAATAAAGCAAAATTGTAAGTGAAAAAACCAATCCAATAAGTTTTAATATAATTTGAGTAAAAAAGTAAAAGTTATTTTCTTTTAATAATTATTCAATTGATGGCAATATTTGAATTACTAAACCAAAAGTCATGGGTTGATTTCTGAAAGTTGGGCCGACGGCCAAGGCCCAAATGTGCATCGTGTAGAAGTAATTATCATTTTAAAAGTCGGTATTTTGTATTTTGATGTGATAATTCTCATAAATTCAAGCATCCTCTCCGTTTTCAAAATTCAGATGATTCTTATGATATTTCTTAATAAGAAATGACCATCTTAAATAGGATAGATTTTCCTTCTTTCGAAATTCAAATGATTCTTATTGTTGTTTGAGGAAGGAAATTTTGGAATAAGAAAATATTGCCTTAAACAAATATGGATTATTTATTGGTTGACTTTGAGAATAATCTATCGATTAAATGAAGAAAATTTGTGCTAATTCACGAAAAAAAAAAATCTCTCTCTCCATTGTGTGCTATAATAGAAACTTTATTAAGGAATAGCATAAACAACGTACCTCAACTTATTAGGATATATATTTTCGACCAAAGATAAAAAATTTGCCATATATTATTGATCTAAAAAGAAAAAAATCATKGGAGTGCCGTAAAAAAAATTACAAGTCTAAAYTGTAATCTAAATGAAGAATGATTTTTTAAAACATCTTTTCAGTACAATATTGTGGAAATAAGATACCTTAATTGGAATAAATCAACTCCTTTAGTTTAATAGTAAGTTACATGATAATGGTTGATGGGAAAGAATGACAACTGCAGTGCCATTTTTTGCTGTTCAAAATCATCATCCTTCAGCAAAAGAAATTTGAGCCAATGAACAAAAAATGGCTATTTATCAGTTCATATACATTTCCAACTAAACCATATTTCGAACATTTGTTTCATATTTGAGTTTGTACAGACTTTTCAAGGAAACATTTTCCATATACACATTTAACATCAAACGAAATCTACAAATCTAACATTCATTACAAAAAACTTTTATTATAGAAAAACAATAGAAGAAAGCGAAAGAGGACAAGAAAATCATCTTATAAGAACTAAACCAATGGCTGTGACAAGAAGAGTCGAGGGAACTCCAAATTTAAGATGATTCCAAAAGGATAAATTGTAGCTTAGCTGTGGAGAGCGACGAGCCTGTTCGCACACTATCAAGTTTGCAGCTGAGCCTAATAATGACAGGTTTCCAGCCACAGTACTGATCCAAGCTAAAAGAAGCCATGCCCTTTTTTCTTGATCTGGAGATATTGCAGCAGCGGATGCAGCRACCCGTGCTCCAAGCAGCAGAACTAACAAGATGATAATAAAAAGGCATCAGATATAGTAGCCCGATTTTCATGACGATTAATAGGTCAATCGAACCAGTGAATTGCATAATGTCCTTTTCATATGAAGAGATTAACCGGTTATGATAGATCCTATACATTCTTATCTATTCATGAAATTCCTGACAATCTATCATGAACTCCACGTTTTTTGGTCTGTTGGTTGCTTTATACTACAAGTTTGTCATTTTATCAATATGTGCATCACCTCATTCTTATTCATACACATCATTTCCAATGATTGTCCAGGTAATCAGATRTTTCTCAATTCTCTGTAATAATGGAACTCCTTTACTGGGAAAACATTACTTATCCAGCTCTTACTACTTTCCCAAGCTGTTCATAGTTCATACATCGTCAGATAGCTTGGCAGAGCTAAAGCAATACAAAATGGTAAGTGAGAGAAGAGAACCTGGAGATCTTCTTCTTTGGTTCTGACCATGGTTTTCTTTTTAAGGTGGGGGTGGTACTAAAATATGACAATATATCAATGGATATGCTCTCCCTACAAATTGCAACCTATCCATGATATGTTGATAAGCTCTACTTTTGGCTTTAGGAGGGATTGGAGTTCTCTAAATCTCCTTGACTTATATCTCTCTATTTTTTTTAGTATCTTTTATATATGTGGGTGTCGGAACCAGCTTGCGCACACCGYGACGAATCTCACGATCGCATGACTTTACTACATCTGGTTGTCAAGGTAACTCGTAAGATATTAAATTGTAGGTAGGTGGCTACCATGGTTTGAACCCATTCCCTCTAAGTTTACATGGACTCTTATATAGACTACTTGACCAACCCTTGATGGTTGACTTTATATCTCTTTGTTATCAATAAGAATTGGTTCCAAAACGTCAGAATCACATTTCAAAAAGGAAAAGAAAAGGGTTTMGTGTTTATGCAGGGCCACAGTTTCTTAACATATTATTCTATGCATTCCATATAACCACACGACAAAAATACTCMAAATAAGGACGTTCAGGGTTTCTTTGCTATACTGGAATTTCAAATTACAGAACATATAAATGGAAAAATAATTGAAAATTTTGAAAGCAAAAAATGATTGGAGGAGAAGTATTTAAATACCAGTAGGCACGTTTGAAGCCAGGTTTGAGAGGTAAAGAATGACAAGAGCAAGAACTACAGTCCCAGAAACACGATCAATCTGCGCATGTGGCTCCATGAAATTCCAAAAAGCACTTGGTAATCCGGTCTTGTTAAATCCATCAACCGTCATAAACATCCCACAAAAAAAGACTAAAAGCGAATAGGAAACCTGTAAAAATAGTAAATTTTTTTCTTATCATCGCTGTATGAAAATGCCATCAACAAATTGTAATAAAGATGGACAAAGAAGAATGGTTCAAACCTTTTCTAGGCATGGCTGAGCATCCTTGAAATCAAGAACCACGAGAGCAAGTGCAGCAGTCACTGCAGTCCATGACATATTCAAGCCCATCAATAAAGCAACTAGCATCCCTATAGTCACAAGATAAACACAACATTTCCAGGCAATCCTTCTCCATTTTGTGCTCCAATGTTCCTTTCCTTCTGAGGACTGCAAGGATACGGATACTAATTCTTTTTGTTTATCCATTGAGTTGAAGCTCTTAGAAGGAAAACTTTCTTCCCTTTTCTGAGGAGATGAAGTGGGCAACCACTCTTTTGATGCATCAGACACTCTTGCCGACTCTGTCATAGCACTAAGAGACCTGTGGATTTCATTATCTTTTGAACTTATTGAATTCCTTACAGTTTCAACATTTTCGATATTTGCATTCGCACAAGGAGAACTTTGCGCGTTCATTGAATCCAACCGAGAATTCCATTCCGGGGAGTTAATGGATGGAATGTGTGTGTGTGATAATCTGGCTGGTGAAAACCTATGAGAATTCACATCTTCATCTGCGACAACTTCAGAGGGTGCATCTTCTTCATCCTTTTGGACAGATAACAATTTCCAATATAGAACAAGGATAATTACAGCATTTACAACGATACCGACGAGCATTGCTGGGAGTATCCCAATCACAAATTGCCCAAAAGGAATTTTACTCTGGACAGCTATGACCAAGTTTTGGGGATTGCCGATCGGGGTTGCTGAAGATCCAATGTTAGCACTTGATGCAAGTGCAAGCAGGAAGGGACGAGGTGGAAGATTATGTTGTCTTGCAATTTTTAATACAAATTCGGTTAACACCACGCACGAGGTGTCGTTGGTGAAAAAAGCACTTGAAATTGCGGAAATCACACACACTCGACAAATTAAATCCTTTGCCCCTCTACTCTTCCATGACAGCACCTTACCCAAGTATTTGAACATATCAGCTCGTTCAAGATAAACACTAACTACCATTGTCCCAAACAGGAGACCAAGTATTGGGAGATCGATGGCCGCATATGCTTGATCAGGAGTTAGGACTCGAAATATAACCATTAGCATTGCCCCCAGGAGAGATCCTGCTGTTCTCCCAATTGGTAGAAATGGGATAGCAGGGAAAACAGCTAATAACCAAAAAATTGCAAAGGCAATTGAGCCTAGAATGACTTTGACAGTATGATCCATGGCCATTTTGGCAACCAGATTCAACTGGAGTCAGCCTTGAACCTGATTGACTGGAATTAATACTGTATATCTTTTCAGCAAACAGAGTAGCTGAGTATCTTGATTCAACTTCTCATCAAAGCCATATAAACCTGAGAAGGAAATTTAGTTCACGTATTTTAACAAAGTGGTATCAACAAAAAAAAGAAACTATAACCAAATTGATGGAATGTAAAGAGAGAGGATAAAAAAAGTGGCACAAGGAACCTGCTATGTAGCTAGCTCGACACGATGATAAAATTTCAGAACATAAACATTAAACCATTTGTGGAGAATTTATACATAAAATAACTAACTTTCTAAAAGCTTAAATCTAAGAGATAAATGTTGATCAAACCAACTTGTAAGCATTTCCTCTATATTTTAACTTTGAAGATAAGAAGTCCACTTGCCATGCAACATTAATTTACATAAAGTTCAGACACTACATTAAAAACGAATAGTAATCTAATAGCTAAATAGCTAGAACTTTTAAGATTAGGAGTGATTCAATTATATAGAAAACAATATGGCATCAAACAGTACTTGAAACTCTGCTTTTTCCCCCTCTACTAAACCAGATTACCAGCTGGAACGCATTTGGGTAGTAAAATTTATGTCTAATTGGTCAGTGCCACAATATTTCGAATCCAAATCCTCCAAGAAGAATAATGGAAGTACGAAATTCATTGACTAACAAGAACCGAAGCTGGGAAACAAACTCCCAGTAGACAGGAACAAAAGTAGATTAAATTACGAAAAATAAATGCAGGGTTTTCACATACAAAAGGCAAGGGCGGCTCCAAGCTCTCATGGCTTAAACATGGAGCTCTAAATCTCCAATCCAACCAATTCACTACGTCCCAGATTGGGAAGTTAACAAATTCAAGTTTAAAAGACAAAAGATTAAGAAGGGCCCTACATCAAAAGAGGAAAGGGGGTAAAAATGGGCTCGAATTTGATGCACTACCAATGAAAACATTTCATCAGAAAGTAAGAAAAAAAACAAAATTATACATGGAACTCCAACTTTTGCAGCTGGGTGTTAAGCTAAAAAACTTACGGAAATTTTGTTTGCATCTGGATCCGAAAAGAAGAGATCTCAGAGTCTTGCTTTGTGTTGGAAAATGAGAGGGAATCTAATCAAAAGTGGATATAATGGAGGTTCTCACAGGAATTCATGGGAAGAAAAAAGGTCGGACTTTACATGAAGCTTTCATGGCCACATGGTGAGCTCTCAGCTTTTACTTAAAATAATGCCTACATATAGACGACAGAATTTTTCATCCGTCAGCGATTTCATGGCTGTTTCTTCGATCAGCTGCTCAATTTATCTGGGAATGGGATTCCCAAATCCATTATTAGATAAACTCCCGTTTCATTTTTACATCCAACAATTAAAAGAATAATTAACAGAAATTACTATTTCATTTCATCGATGTGTTTAGCATGATAACCATTCATTTCTTGCCAGACTATTAACTTGTGAAGGTCATGTAGTTTTTTTCAACCCGATGGAGAAATTTGGATAAGGTTTAGGGAATAATTGATCAAATTTTTACCCTAGAAATAATCTCTAAACAATTCGGTAATTTACCATCATTCTACCCCGTTAAAATCACTGTCCGCCGCGGGCTCCACCATCCGTCGCCGGAGCCACCGTGGATCTTTATTGTTTATGGCCTCCGTCGTCTCAGAGATCGTGTGCTTCTCTTTCATGGGTCAAAGGTCCTACAAAATAGGGCTCTCTTTCACAGGTCTTCGACTGGACCAAGTCAACGGGCCGGAGAGCCAGGTGGCGGCGGGTGGGAACCGCGGCGGAGGAAGGCGGGCCATTGGGACAGCGGGGAGTGGGGACGGGTGGTTTTGTATTTTTGTTAATTGACAATAATTATTCTTATCTCATTAATTCTTTTTTTTTCTCTTTTGAAAAGTCGCTAACATTTCTTTTAATCGCTATTATTGAATTTCAATCATCGCATTTAATAAAATCTCCAGCAATGTTGGTAAAAAAATAAATAAATAAAATCTCTAGCAATTATTTCTAAATTTAACATCAAATTCAGTAAATGTAATAATTACATGACTTCAAGCAAGGTTTTACTTAAAAAAAATTCAAGTAAAGTTTTAAACATAAATGTCATGCCAAAGCATAATAGCTCAGTGGTAATTAGTATATACCTCCAATCAAAAGGTGCAATAGAAAAATGGACAAAATATAGTTTTATGCCATGCTCRTGTGATTGGCCTAAATATAGAGTAGTTATTAAGTTATTAATACCCTTTAAAAATTTTGTCAAAATAGATTTTTATGTAATATTGATGTTGTTGACCTAAAAAATAGCTTAATTATTGAGTTATCAATATCTTGTTGAGTGGTGTTGAAATCTACATTTATTATTTCAACCGTAATGCGTTTAAAGAAATTAAAAGAGATTTAAAAGTATGCTAAAATAGATGTGAGAGTTAAAAAGTAGTATTATCAAAAGTCAAATTACTTCAGGTAGAGTAGACTTTTAATTTTACCTATTACAGTGAATAAAAGTAAATATCTTTTTTAAATAGAATTTGGATTATTTCTTACTATAATATATTTAGAAAAAACATATAAAAATGATGGATCATTAATATTTCTAAAAGTTGACAACTTATCATAAGTGGCTTTTAACATAATGTTGAAAATCAACCACACAAACGTACATCATATCATGATTAATCACATCAATAAAAATAATTGGATCAAAATTTAAATAATATGGGCAAATATTAGATTTTTATGTAATCCTCGTGTTCTTGACCTAAAAATAGCTTAATTACTAGGGTGATGCTTCATAATTATTTCGTTTTTAATCTTACCTTTTTTAAAATTATACTTGTTTTTTACAAATTTTCACCTCTCTTGATAAATGTATTCAAATTCTACTCAAATTTCAAAAATAAATACAAGTTAAAAAGTTCTTTTTTTTTTCTTTTCAAAATAGACCTAAAATTTTGGAAATGTTTGCATAAACTATATAACAAAATAAAAAAGAATACAACRTGAATGTAATGTTTCTAAGTTTAATTCTTTAAAATAGAAAACAAAAAACGAAATAGTTATCCAATAGGACTTTAAATTATTAATATATTTTTTAGCAGTGTTCAAATGTATTTGTTTCTTATTTGAATTGTAACGAGAAATTATAAGAGATTTAAAAGTATGTTAAAATAAATGTGAAAGTTAAAAAGTAGTATTATCAAAAGTCAAATTATTGAGATGAATATATATTTTAATGTTAAAATTGCTTTTGATTCTATCTCATTTTAAACMARTATAAGTGGTTGATTGGTCCAAAGTGGTCAAGATAAACGATCAAAATGATTAAAGAGTATGGATTCAAACCTAAGCAGTTATCTCGTAAGATTAGTTAATATACACACAAATTGGCCTATACACTCATGATTATTAAAAAAAAAATTTATCTCATTCTAATGTTAAAAGTGCTTTTGATTCTTTTTCGRAATAGAATTTAGATATTATAACTGAATACAAGATTTAATATAATATATACAAAATAGACAACTTTTAATATAATGTTGAAAATCAACCAAACGTACATCATATCATGATTCATCGCTTCAACAAAAATAATTGGATCAAAATTTGAATAATATTGTCAAACTTAGAGTTGCGACCATACCCCACCATCGTCTCATCAATTAATAGATTGTACCAACAAGAAGAAAAGTTGGAATACAATTAGAAAGTGCCCCATACTGAGTTCTCAACTTATACACCCTACGATAATTTTAAACAGTTTTTATATCGATATTTRTACAAATCCGAGCATAACTCAATAGATAAAACATATGTTAATAACGATCTAAAAGTTGATACTTCGATTAGTGTTGGACTAAAAATGAATGTTTAAATTGTTTCGTACAGGTAAGTTTGACCTATACTCATTTAATAGGTATATATCACATCAAGTTGATGGAAACAAAAATTGAATAGAATTATATTTCCAAGACTAATATAATTATATGTTAACTTGACTGTAAATCTATTAAAAAAATTTACTTATAAGTTGATATGTATTATATGTATTAACTTGTTCGATTTGTTATTATAGAAGCATAACTGATAAAAAATGTTAAAAAAAAAATCGACATGTCAAAGATAGAAATATAACTCTTAAAAAATCAGAGACAAACTTCAAGTGATATATTTAGTGTTACTATGAGTTTAACTCGATTGTCAAGACATCTTGCTCATTCTTTTAAAGGTTTAATGAGATTACAAATTTTTTATACTTAGAAAACTGATATATTTAGTTTATTATTAATACTGTTGAAATATTGTAAGTCATGCCATTAATAAGCCCATTTGTCACAATAACTTAGAGTTGAAGAACCAATAGTTATCAATTAAATAAATTTATTTCAACCAATGTGAAAGTGAACATATAACTTAGTGGTAATTGACATATATCTCCAACTAAGAGTTTTTGGATTCGATCCCTTACCCTACATATTGTACTAAAAAAAAATGTAAAGATTGAAAAATATCATGATTATTTTTTGTAACCCCAGAAATGTGTTCAACTACTACTTTTTTCTTAGTTTTTTTTTTCAATTTTTAATTTTTTTATAACCATACAAACGCAAACAACTCGTACATGTCAATATAAGTTTAGCTTAACAATAATTGAAACGGTCTCTGACCAATAATTCATGACTTCCAATCCTCCATTTCACTTTTTGTACTAAAAAAATCCGTTGGCAAATAAAATAAGTATTATCTTTCCCCCAAACTTTCTTCCACTTTTTAATACAAGATACTTGAAAATTAGTTAATAAACAAAACAATTTTCTTTTTACATTTTAATGATTCACAGATCGATTTGCATTGAGAAACTTGTAAATATATAACAATTCATTAATAAATAAAACTAGTCATATTTATTTATTTTCTGTTTTTCTTAATTCAGTTTATAGAATCTAGATGCAATAAATAATTAAAAAATATAAACAATTCATTAATAAATAAAACAAGTAGTATTTTTTTTATCCTTTTCTTAACTTTATTTATGAACCAAGAGGCATTGCAAATAAAACAAGTAGTACTATTTTTTGTCCCCATATTTCAATAACCACGTGTCAATGTAGAGATTTGTGAGTATAAATAAATAATTGGTAAATAAAATAAGTAGTAACCTTTTTCCCTTTTTTTTTTCTCAACTTTCTTTTCCATATCTTAATGAATCACCTAACAATATGCACTAAGAGACTTGCAAATAAAATAATTCAATGAATAAAATAATTAGTAGTTTTTTTTTATTATTTTTTTTCTTCACATTTTAGTGATTCACAGGTCCACATGCACTAAAACACTTACAAATATACATGGTTCATTAATAATATTGAACTTCATTTTCTTTTTTAATGTCTTACTAACTTACAGTTGAATTCATCTTGTCAAAATATTACTTTACCTTTCTAGAGATTAAAAATTCAATTCCAACATCGAAATATATATTTTTAATAGTTTTATGGATTTCCAAATCAAGGAAATACTTTCCAAAACTTCGTAATATTTTGTTAATTATAAGCACTGTTTGTGTTTCATCCAATGAAAATGACATTTTCTTATTAGCTACACTTACCTGTTAGGATCCCACTTTAAAAAGAAAAGGGATCTTAATTACATAGTTTTATAATAAACATTGAACTACCCATCTCATTGTCAATGGATTTTAAGATGGAATCATGAATATTAATRTTACCAAGATATGACTTTTTTATTTAATAATTAGTTTTATATTATTTTACATAGATGTGACAATGACAATATTTATTTTAAAAAATCGACATGGGCAAACGGAGGGAAATAAAATAAAAAATAAAATAAAAWAAAAAGTTCAGAAACCCAAATTTTTATATCCGTACGTCTCTCAAGTCACAACGGCAATGGGAAGAACGAAGGAAAGAAGGGTAAAAATGGAAGGCGAAGACGAAGAAAGATGATCGGCAATCGGCGGCGACACAACATCGGAATCGTAACCGTTACCCGGCCGGCGGCGGCGGCAGCCCATCGTAAAAAGGTATGGCCACAAACAAGAACGCACCAAATAAAGATGAGAAGTAGAGTGAGGAAAGTAAGGTAATTTTCTCTTAAAGTTTAATTTGAATGTTGCACAAACAACCCGGAATTGTAGAGATTGTTATAATTGTACCAGTGAAGTTTGAATTGACTTATAAAATTGTAAATCTAACCATTATCACTTGCATAGATTAAAAAGTATACAAATTATCGATACAATCAACCTGTTGAATTTTAAAATTACAACAAATTAACCCTAAATTTTTTGTTTTATGAAATCTTGATTGCTATGACCTGACCTGTTAGATAAGATAATCCTCTTGTTTTTTGTTTTCTAATTTTAAAAATTAAGCTTGTTAATATTGTTCCACCCATCTTTATTTGTTTTGCATCTATGGACAAAAATTTGAAAACTTSAAAAGATTGTTAATTGTTTTTTAAATTTGGCTAAGAGTTTAAATATGTTTTTGTGAAATGTTAAGTAAATTGACATATATCTCCAACTAATATATATATATATATATATATATGATATTAACCTTTAAAATATCTATCTTAAATGTAATAGTTTTATTAGTTTGAAGTTTTATTCTGTAAACAAGGTAAACCCAATGGGAACCAAAAAACGGGAGGGTACCGCATTGGGCAGAAGACGATCCAAAAAGYGAAGGCTCACCCTTATTATTAATACTCACCCTAAAAGAAGGAAGGAGCTTTGGAAGCTTACCTTCTTATTAGAGAAAAGGGCAACCTATCTTACTAATAAGAAAAAATTTGGGTTAAATTGTAATAATTTTATAGTTGGACAACTTGATTGTGTTAATTCATTTTTATAGCTTAGGAATAACTTGTGCAATTTGTAATCTATCACATAGCGACTAAGCTTAAATGCAATTTAAGGGTTATATTTAGGAAAAAGTGTGTTTAAAGTGGTTTATGCTAGTGTTCAAGTTGTTCGTTCTACAATTAAACTCGAGTTTGACAACTTCTCCTTCTAAATATGAGTTGACTTATGAAATCAAATAAATAAAAAAGAGTTTACAAATTTAACTGCTTTTTTTTCTTTTTTTTTTATTTCTACGGAGCAGAAAATTTTTTCCTTTTCTATTATTCACACAAGACAAATGTATGCATTCGATTACGGTCATATTTTAGGTTACGATTTGGTGGATGCAAATGCACTAAGAAATTTGTCAATATAAACAATTTATTAAGTATAGTTGTTCCGTGAATTCAGTCAATGTGTATACAAGCTGGTTCAAATACTTACGGATATCAAAACAAATTTTTTTTTTTTAATGTCAATTTAACTCAACTGGTCTAAGACATTATCTTCAACCAAAATGTGGTGGATTTGGATCTGTGTACGTTTGTTGTACTGATAAAAATAGTAATTTAAAATTTTTACTTTTAACTTAATTTCCCCATTTTTATTGATTTACCGTAAAAATTTCAAACTTGTAAATATAAATATAGTTTTTATCAGTAAATAAGCAGGTAGTACTTTTTTATTTTTACTTCATTTGTTTTCTATATTTTAATGGCCACATGTCAATGAACTAAAGAGATGTGTAAATATAAACAATTCATTGGTAAATAAAATAAAGTAGTAGCTTTTTTCTTTTTCTTTAACATTTTCCCCCACATGTTAATGAACTACAGAAAAATATGCACCGAGAGAATTGCAAATATAACAATAGAACAAGTAGCATTTTTTTTTTCTTTATCCTTAACTTTTTGAGCTTCCCATATTTGAGTGATTCACAGCTAAATATGCACTAAAACTAGTTTCTTTTTTTTTTCTTTTCTTTTTAAGAACAATATGTTGGGGAGAAAGATCGAACTCATACCTCTTTGTTGAAGGTATATGTCAATTACCGCTGAACTATTCTCGCTTTGTATAGTAATAAAACATTTGATCCTGAATTCTTAAAATGTCTACTTTAATTTTTGAACTTTTAAATTTATTTTATTTTCATGAACTTTTAAAATAGATTTTAAAGAATAACTATTTTAATTTATACCCTTAATTAAATTTCTTTTAACAAAGGGATAATATGGCTTCAAGTCAATAAAACATACGGAGTTATGGAGTTATATAGGTATTGAATGAGACAAATAACAAGGAGTTGGATATTAGATGGCAAATAATAGTATTGACAAAAATATTTGCTCTTTGAATAAGTTAAAATAGACATTTTTTAAAAGTTAAAAATCCAAAATTATTATTTTTTAATTCGTAAACTAAAATAGGTAATTTTAAAGTTGAAGGAACAAAAATTAAATAAAAAATTTAAAACCTAAAATGAGATTTTTATGGATTCTCATGTCATTGTACACCAAGAGACCTGCTGATGTAAACAATTCATTAAAAAAATAATAATTAAAAAAAAACAGGTAAAAATATTTTAGGTTACATATATTTTTAGTCTCTAAAACTAAATAAATAGTTCTCTCCAAATTCTAAATTACAATATCTTACAATTAATTTTCTTTTATTTCTAAAATTTTTCATAATGATTACTTGACTTTCTGTTAGCTACAGTAGGCCTAGGGGGAGGATCATATGACTTTTTTTTATAACCAAAAAAGAAAAATTTATATTTATTACAAGTTAAAAAAAAAATTTGTCACATGGAAAAATAAAATGTCAAAAACTCAAATTATCTCTCTTTCAAGTCACAACAGCAAAAAAAGTAAACGCATTCAACACTTAGAATTTTTTTGTATTTTCACTCATATTTGTAATATTATATTTTTGTTATAATATTAAATAGCATATTTTTTTTAATTATTAAATGTAGTAAATCAACAAACTTAGTTTTTTCCACACCAACACAAATTTTTTTTTACTATAGTATTAATTAATTAGATTATCACATTGATATACAAAATGTTACATCAACTTTTAAGTTTTAAGTTATTAAAGTTTGAACTCAAAAAGAAAAAAAAATTAAATTATTAAAGTAAACGTCATTTTGATCCACTCTGAAAACTTTAAAAAATGTGATAATTAGATTATCACATTGATATACAAAATATTACATCAACTTTTAAGTTTTAAGTTATTAAAGTTTGAATTCAAAAAGAAAAAACAATTAAATTATTAAAGTAAATGAAAAAATAAACCTCATTTTGATCAACTTGGGAAACTTTCAAAAAATTGAGTTATAAAGTTTTGAAATTTAAGAAAAAATGAATTAGAAAAGTATTTATTCTTTCTTTTTGCATATTTTAATGATTCACTAAACTCTAAAGTGAGAGATTTGAAAATTAATCTTTTCTTTCCCTCAACTTTCTGTTATAGAAAAGGTTTTTTATTTTTTATTTTTATTTAAATTTTATTTAGTACAAAAGGTATAGAGAAGTTGAGAGAGAAACAACGCCACGTGGGAAGGAAAAAATAAAATATTATTTTCGAGAGGATTTTTTTTTTAATGTATATTATTGAATCATGTAGGTGGGGCGGTTTTGGCCTTTGGGAGCGAATTATCGTCTGTATATCCAAATTTGAAAATATAATAATTATTTAATAGCACCTCAATTTTTTTATTAATAAATTATAAACTGTAAAATTACGTTGATCCATTTACTCCGAGTCTTAGCTTTGGTCCATTTTGGTTACAAATAATTATTTTTACCAAAATAAATTACATATATTAAAAGCAACAAAACTATAATTTAAGTCTAAATGGATAGGTTTAAAATTTTAGTTAATGGTCTAAACCTTTTAAGTTTCCCGCCCATTTTAGTCTCCATACTTCCAACTTTTTGTCAATTTTAATCCATGGACTTTCTATTTTAATTCTTGCACTTTTAAAAAGTGATCATTTTAGTCTATTTATTTTCATTTTTATCTTATTTTTTCTATCATAGTTTTAGGATAACACTTTATTCACTAAATTTATTAAAATATAGTCAGAAATGTGTATTAAATGATTTCCACTCGATATATAATGTGTCTTAAAATTTAGAAAATATGGACTAAAGTGGATACTCTTTAAAGGTGCAAAACCAAAATAAACGTTTTGAAAGTTCAAGACTAAATGAACAAAAGTAGAAAATACATCAATTAAAATAAACATTTTGAAATTACACGAGCTAAAATCAAAGAAAGTCAGTAATACAAAAACCAAAATAGTATTTAAACCAATTTATAGTGGATAATAAAAAACCAAAATAGTATTTAAAATAATTTATTATTATAATCGATACCATGTCTAATGATTATTTATCACCTTTTTTTTTTGTTTCTCGACAAAAAAATATATATATTTATATATATCACCTACTTCTCTTCATTCAAAATAGATCCACTCATTCAATGACCAATAAATTCACCATTATTCATGACATCCAATCTTCAAAATAGCGTTCCTCTTCTTTCATTGACTATACATGTACTATTAATTGGACGCTTTCTATATTTTGAGATTAGTCAAAACCTTTTTTTACGGCACACNTTACGGCACACGAGATCGAACTCACGATTTATTAGTTGGAGATATATGTCAAAACTTAAAAGTGATGCTTATATTGAGATTTAAACGTTATTAATTTTTTTTAATAAAAAAATTTTTTTTAATAAAAAAGACAATAATATTAGCGATTAAACCCGAAAAACCAAATTAAATTTGTGTTTTTAATAGTAATATCAAATTATTATTGCTTGCAATTTTAAAATATATGTATCCAAACTTATTATTATACATATAAGTACTAAAAAAAAGTAGGCATATATAAAAAGACTACAATTTTTCTCGATTTGTGCTAATCTATAAATAGATTATACATGTCAACTTATCCTAGCTAAACTATTTGATGTATATTTTATCTAACAAAAAGTCAAAGGTTCAAATTCTCACTCTAAATGTTGTCCACCCGAAAAAAAAAGTTATACATCGACTGAACAAAAACTTAAAAATTTATCACATATTACATACATCCTTTCATTATAACTATTTTTTAATAGCGTCCCATGGTATTTATTTATTTATTTCAAATATAATCTACAGTTCAGTTTTTAAACAAAAAATCAATGTTCCAATCCAATAATGAAGTTATAAAATATTGAAAAAATCAAACTTTAAAATTTAAAGTGACAAGCATGAAAAAGAAAAGAATAAGTTAACACACACAAAAAAAAAGCAGGCAAATATCAAAAGAAATAATATGATAATATTCCAAAAAACTTGAATGAAAAAGGCCCCCCCTGCAGTGACCAGCCTGAAATAAAAAATTTCATACGAGGCTGACGTGACATGCGGTCAATACAAAGAATACCTATATTTGTATAGTACTAAAAATTTTACCTATAAACATAGTACAATTACTATTTGCCCCCAAAATATTAATGGATTCACATATTTTAATACGAAGCAGTGAATAGAATAGCCCATAGTAGTAAAAAAATTTCCATAGAGCATGTCGGGTAAAATTTTCGATAGAGTACTATATTCTCTTTCATACACTATTTGTCACATCAACATTGTATTAGAAATTATATGAGATCTACTCATTTTATTTATTGTATAAACAAAAGAGAGTATGTTATTCTCGTTCGGGGTTTCAGTGTCCTAAATTACTCTTTGCCTCCGTAATTGACTTGACTTTTGTTCCTCTCTGTATGGGGTTCTGGTGTCGTGTTTTGGGAAGAAGAGAGGAAACATTATAAATGTGGCTCTCTCAGGGCAGCTGTAATTCCCCTTCTCTCGACAGCCGAGGGACCCCTTTTTGGGTTGAATTTTCCTCTCTTTCACACCAAGTGCAATATTTTCTAACCTCGTGTTTGTTTCTCGAGAAAATTCTTCAGGAACTATTTCCCTGCCTTGAGTCTCTTATGCACTTCTGTTTAAGTGAACACAGCTAAAACAAGAGCCTTTGAACTGAACTTGCAATTTCAGGCAGATGGGCCAAATGGACATATGAAGCTTTTTTGGGCTGTCACCTTTCTAGTTTCTAGCATTTTGTTTGTTTCTAGGGAAAGTTTTTCCCAGTAATAATTCCCTGCCTTGTAAAGGAAAACAACAGTACTTACTTGAAAGCTTCAAGCTGAAATGTTGATCAATAATTGACTTGGAACTCTAAAATTAAGGTAAACCAAAGAATCATCTTCATCCTTGGACATATGATTTATGAAGCTGAGTAATTGTCTCACATTTACTTGCAGAGAGAGGGAAAGAAACTGAAATCGGTAGAGAGTTTTCAAGAAAGAAAGTTCCATTGTAGGAGAAGAATGAAAATTCTTATTATTATACAAGACAAGAAAGAATAAACCACTTCAAAGGTCCTATGATTTATGAATGATCTACTTCTTGAGCTATGATGATAAAGAATGCTTCTGCACTGCGGTACCCACACTAGTTATCCCTAATAACTATTTTCTTTCTGCTGTCTGTTGGAACAGTGTTTTCACAAGACAACTTTGAAAAACATTCTTTTCCTCCAAATCATGCCATCTGCTATCTGAGATATCACAGATCCTAAAAGTTGTATCTCCCAAGAAAGACTACATTCAAATGTACATTCAAAAGATTGGCTGTTGTTTCTTCTTCTTTTCTTTTTTTCTTTTTACTGTGAGATGAGATCCATGTCATAGTCAGCTGACTCCAGGTTGCAACATTGGGAAGAAAGTCCAGTTGTTGCCTGGATTAGCTTCCTTCACAGCCACCTTTTCATTGGCCCACCACTCTGCACCAATGGAGGCTGTATTGTGTATTTCACCTTTAGTTTGGTCAAAATTGAACTCTTTGAATGAACCAAGAGTTACGGCTCGCTGATTTTGGTAGCATTGATCATCCTCTCCTGCTGGACTTTTTTCGGGTGCTGTGGAAGTCTTGATGTCAAAGAACTCACAAGTTTCAGCTTCTCTCGAGGATCCTTTGTTTTCGCTTTGGTACTTTGAGCTCGTTTGTTGCTCTGAAGACTCTGATTCAGTTCTAATGGATGCCATTGACTTGTTTGCAAGACAACGTGCAACATCTTCACCAGTTAACTCAAATGACACCCTATGATTTGTCACATCATTTTGACATCCACTTTCTGAGTTGGCAAGGGAAGCCACCTCAGATATTTGGTTGTCCAACAGTGAACCATCTTGCAAGGCATTCCCCAAACCATCGGGCGTCAAGGTACCAGAATCCAATCTTGAATCTTGCCTCATGCCATTCGGGGTCATGGATCCAGATCCCAATCTCGAACCCATACCCATACCATCAGGGGTCAAAGTTCCCGAACCTAACCTAGAACCTAAACCAGTACCATCTGGCGTCAAAGATCCAGAACCCATTCTTGAGATCCATTTGCGAGTTGTAAAATGTTCGAGACCCAAGAGCTTCGGAGCATCTGCCATGCGGAACTCAAGAATGGGGTGTTTATCAGGGAAAGGAGAAGATGTACCAGAGTTCGAAATTACCGATCCAGGTGATATAAGATGGGCGCCAGGGCTTCCTGGGTAGGGTTGATAAGGCTGGAAATCACAATGGGATAGTGCAAACTTCTGGTTAGTCCCAAAACTTTTATTAGTATGACTCAGAGAAGATGTCAGCAATTTAGCAAATGGCACTTCAGGAGATGAGGGTGTGGTCAGTTGCACAGACTCAGGAGGAGGAGTAAAAGGAGCAGTAGATGGTTCAGTTGGGAAGGCAGAAAAAACTGGAGGTGAGACCAACTGGGTCTCATATGCATAAGGGCCTATGGCAAAAATGGACGCAGGTCCATTTTGGGAGTAGTTATTGACTGAGAGGGCAGTTAAAGATAGTAATCCAGCCGGAGATTGAGCGTTTGATGAAGGATCGGACTGGAGGAAAGACGCAGGAGAAGACGGAGGCGCAATAAAAGGTAATACCATTGTGGTTGAAGGTGTCCGATGTTCAACAACAGGGGCAACAGTTCCTGGTACCACAGGTTCTGGAACCAGTACAGCATGACCAATACGCTTATTGTTTTTCTGCGAACCAATTCCAAAACACCAGTACAGACTCCAGCAGCAACCCCATCTTCGTTTCTGTAGTTAGATAACAGAAGAATATAAATGAGAAGATCTATAGGAAACAGATCAAAGACTCCACTCTAGCTAAAAAGATCATTTTTCAAGCCATCTGAGCAGTACTAAGAACAATTGTCCAGATATCTAAGAACTTGAGCAGTTATAGACCACCAGTGAAGTTCATATTCATCAACGATACTGTGTTAAAAAAATATTACATAACTTCCTCGCCTTTTCATGTCAGGCAATAGAGAATAAGACGGGAAGGAAGAGGGTGGGAAAAACCATCTTCATCCAATGGCCAAAAATTCAAAATCCAAACTTTTCATGTTTCTTGGCCAAATTGGTTAAAAAATAATTGTAGTGGTGTTAATATACCAAACAAAACAAACTGGTCTCAGAAAAGTTCTACATAAACAGGCTTGAAAATTTTAAAGAATATGCATAAATGAAAGCCAACTGAACGTCATCTCAATTTTCAGGATCTTAGATCTATAAAAAGAGCCCTTCTTCATTCGTGATCCTAAAACTTAATATTTCGACAGTCAATTACTCCAAGATAAGAAACGTATGGTATTGGTACCAAACTCAAGAACGGCACCTTCAGGAGTATGGAATCTACCTTAAATTAGATGCAAAATTTTATCTGTCCCCATTAAAAGACTAATCTCAGCCCGGGCCAAACTCAACCTTAAGAGGGAAATCGAATCCCAGAAGAGCAGAATTAATTGGTAAACTGTATAGAGCTACAAGATCCATTACCAGAAACAACTAATTCAAGAAATCTAGTGACAAATACATGAGATCGCTTACTAAAAAGATGGAACTTGGAAAACCACTATATTGACAATCTTAAACCTGAATGAATCTTGGTAAGTTTCGAAGCAAGCAATTGCACAGGATCGGACATATCGGTCTTGTAATTAATTACTCAACAACCTTACGTTCTCCTCCCTTTCTGTTAAGAAAACAAATGAAAAGGAAAAAGAAACTTTTCGTGTTGCTTTATCCTCAACTTTTCAGCATCCAGACTAATTAAGCGACAACTTTTTGTGAATTTTTAGCATTCAACATCCTCACCAAAAAAAAAAGAAAGGAAAAAGCAACACAATCAAAATCCAGCAATCCAAGCAGAAAAACACCAAATCAAAATCTTAGAATCGAGAAACAAAAAGGCGTAACCAACATAACTTTCTGAAATCAAAGAAAATCGCTCAGATCATCAATCTTGACGAGATTATCCACATCTAAACTCAAAACATCAGACAACAACATCGAGATCAAAGATTTCATTCTCATTCAAATTCCCGCACTCTCTTAGTCCCCAAAAACAGACTACATAACAGAAAAAGAAAAAAAAAGCCACCTACCGAAGGTGTCGGAGGCTGGACTCGAGCCTCCGCAGAGACGATCGCAGTAGCGGCCGCATTAACCGTGTCCACGCTGTTGTTCATGCTTCCCATCCCCGCTTTCTTCCAGTCCAGAGAGCTCCGCCACCGGACTTTTCAACAAGTTCGCCGTGGTCTCCGACCAATCCACGCCGCTAACTCACCGGCAAAATCAATTACTCTCTTGCGAGATTTGACAGCCAAAAAAAAGGAAAACGGAGAAGACTTTCGGATTTGATCTAGGAAATGAAAAACTCAGTCCAAGAGAGAGAGAGATTGAATTTTCTGATTTTATATATTTCCAATTTCCTATAAAATAATAACATAAAAATATAAATATAAATAAATAATATAAATCTGGAGTCTGGTTGTCTCTAAAGTCGAGTTGGGTGGCTGGTCCAGTATTTATCCTCTGATTTCCGCAATTTTTAGCAATCAATAGTACCCCTCATCTCATCAGCCTTTCATAGGATAATCTGGTGGGACCCACATTAAATTTTATAATCCTAATTTTTAATATTAATAGCAACGCCCATGATAGCTCCAT